TGCTTTGTTTCATGCTTTGAAGGGATTGAATGTCTTTGGGGGAGTTGGGTTGGGTGGGGAGGGGGTTTGGATGCAGGAGTTTTGGTTGTACCTTGTGAACACTGAAAAGCGGCAAATAAAGTTTTCTGTTCATTCATTCATTCATTCATTCAAACTGCAACACAGTTTCTGTATAGCCATGAACAAAGTTTGAATACGGTATTTTATTGCTAAAGTGTATTGAATGGTGCTTGAATTATTTGCTGTGGATATGGAATGTATTACAGTAATGCAATTCAAAACTTACCTTTGTTTGAGCCCAGAGTTTCCTTGTAAGGGGGACCAATTTGGACACCAGTCTTTGCACAGTTTCTGTGAAACCCCGCTTTGTGCAATAGTGTCCCTTTGCAAGCACCCCAAAAATCTTGTCAATAGATTCAGGGGTTGGTAAGGTGCAATTAAAAATTGAAAAATGCCTCTTCAACCTGGATGGGATGTCATTCCTTCCTCCACCTTTTCAACAAACATTAATGCATTAAACGTTCATTTATATCAACACCAATTCAATATTTTTAGGAAGCTATACTCAAAAAAGTCTTTGTTTTTTATTCACTCACCAGGTTGGATCATGGCTGCCAGGTACTGGACATCCACAATGTGTGTAAAGTCCCCAGGCTTGTCAAGGTTGTAAAATCCATTCATTTCAATAGTTTGTCTCACAATCTCATTGGTTACTTGGTCTCCCCATTCATTGATTTGAGGCATATTTATGTCATCAATGAAGACTGTCATTCTTTTCCCTGCAGGTGGACCATAAGTGCTTCCCATCCTTTTGTCCAAGTAGCCCTCCATGATCCTCTGTCCAGCAAATTGCATTAATTAGCAAAAGTTTAAAGACAAATGACAAGAAACACACCTGGAAATTGTATGGAGTGGATGCTGAGGAGAAGTTCATCTTCCTTGAGATGTGCATGTCAGAATTGCTTTTGCGCAAGAATGCTTCAATCATGACAGTTTTTGCTGACCCTTGCTCTCCCATCAGCAACACAGACTTGTTCTGCTTGGCCACAGTATGAATCAGAAAGTCAGTCCTCACATTATCTACATTTGGGACCAGAATGGACCCAAAGTCTGGAGTATGAGTCTCTGGATAGATGAACTCTTCTACTCTTGAGTTCCAGTGCACCCACCGACCTTTAAAATAGGATAAAACAAATTAATTCCTGTGCCTATATACAATCAAGCAATTTTTTCTAATGAATTTTCACCTGTTTGATCAACAACATAGTCAAAAATGCATGCTGAGGGTGTGTTGTGTTCCACCTTGGGCAAATCCAGTAAAGAGTTCAGTGAATTGGTGGCTCTGATGTGTTCCTCAAACTTCACCCTGTCTTCAATTTCAAGAAATGCCCCCATGCTCCACATGAGAGCAAAGACATACAACCGTCCAACGTGTACACCTTTGAATAGAGAAACCAATTTATGAATTCACTGGTTGTCAGGCAGCATATTCCATATGTTCCAATGCATGTTCAGTTCTCCTATACAGAGAATTATTAAGACCCCCTTTGAGTGGATAATTAAATACTAAATAGCAGGCTGAATTCCAAAGGCATGGCATTTTATTCAACTGTCATGCATTACAAATGTTGCCAAGCCTAAAATGTACTGAATCAAATAAAAGTTAAAGAACACAAGTCACATTTTCTGTCTATTTAAATTTGAGAATTATGGTTAATTGGATGAGTAATTGATTTAAACTCAAGTAATCCAAGTTCTGATGAGGTTTTTATGCCTAGATTTTAATTTTCAAGTTTTTAGAAACCACCATATTGTTTTTAGTGGATGTAAGGGTCTTTAGTTTGAGTCATGTTTTCATAGAGGCAGACAATTATTCTAAATGTTTTTGTTATTAGTTTGAGGCAAATGACAAATAATCAAAAATAGTGCCTTGGAAATTTTCAAACTCACCAAATGATTGTTTATTGGACTTATCTCTTTTCCTTGATGCTCTATCATCTTCATCTTCATCCAGGTTTGCATTTTTGTCATATTTCTCTTCAGCAGGCAATAAGCCTTGCAACAAAGTAAGGAGCTAAATAGATGCAAAGAAAGTATCAAAGGCATGTCACACACATGCTCAGAAGCTAGTTTAAGAATCACCTGAGTGATCACATTTATTTGAAGAATCTCCATGCGATAAGTCAAGTTTTGTGTGGACCATGTGAATAAATCCAAGAAGGTCTTCTCAAATAACTCTGAGAGTAGATTCTTCTCAGTGGGATTCCCTCTTTTTTGAAGCCATGCTGAAAATATGGGCTTCCAATCCAGACCTGAACTACTCATGTACACCTGAACTTGGACAAAAGACCAGATGATGAGACATGAAGAAGATGAGAATTTGAATGAAACAAACCATTCCATTCCTGGACACAGTTGCTGGAGAGGCATTGTCAATGTTGTGAGGCTCAAAAATTATTTTGCAATTGAGTGACATGGGAATCCTGTCACCATTTGCCAAAGTCAGTGTTTTGTTGTCATCCAGGACTGAGTTGAGATTCTCAATCCAAATTGCATCAACTGGTCCATCCAACACCAGCCAAATGTGTTCAGCTTTTAAATGAGGAATGAAGTCAAGAATAAGAAATATTTTGAATGACAAAGGAAACTTCCTTGGAGAAATAACCTTACGAAATTATAACGCATCACCAAATAAGAACACTTTAGAAATGAAGAGAAGAATCTCACCTTTTTTGACTTTGTGGGTTCTGCGCCATAGGGTGGAAAAGATACCATCAGTCCAGTCATTGGTGGCAACATCCAATCTACCAAACATCTGTGGAGCTGTGATGGCCTTTGGATTCATCCTCATCTCCCTGTGTGGCTCTCCACATTGTGTTAAGGCTCTCATCAAGATCTGAATGCAAGTTGTCTTCCCAGACCCACTTGGCCCCAATGTCATCATCCCATGTCTCACTCGTTGTGTTTCATAAAGCTTTCAATAAAAAGATGAATTAAAAAAAGTGCTACATTCAGGCCATCTCTAATAACTGGTACATCCAGTGAAGTGAAGAAACAATTTAACTAACAAATGTAATTTCTTATTTCATATCTTTTAACTATTAACTAATAATTTCATACTTAGTACATAGGGTAATCAAGAGTAATTGTATATTTTGAAATTAATCTTTAGTATTATGCAATTTCAAATTTTGAAATTAATCAATAGTAATTTCATATTTTGTAATTAATCAATAATATCTTAATATTTTGTAATTAATCAATAATAGTTTGAAATTTTGTAATTAATCAATAGTAATTTCACATTTTGAAATGAATAGTAATTCAATATTTTATAATTAGCTAATATAGTACAGTAATATGATTTTTTGTTGATATTTCAAATTACCTGAATGAGTTTAATGGCCCAAGCAGGATGATAAATAAGACCTGCAGCTTTGACTTGTTCATGGATAGCTTTCTCCAGTTCAGGATGTCCAGCTTTATCCAAAGAAATGGCAGGGAACAAATCATTGACCAAAGACATGAAGAGAGGCTCATCTTCATCTGTAAATCAAAAAGGAAAGAAACAAAATAACCATCACAACTAAGTTTGTACAGTATGTGCAAATCAAGTGATGACTGACCAACAAGTTTTGACAAATTCATGTCCCTGAGAACTCGCATGACAATGGTACTCTCAGAGTCTTTGGGATGAGCCCTTTTTGCTGCTCCTAGGGTTCTTAGAACTGACAGGATGTTTCTCAGGCCAAAGTCATAGTGAACCTGAAACATAATTTTGAATTTTATAAATTTCTATATGTTATTTCAAATCAAAGTGAACACAATTTACAGAACCTGTTTGGTCAGTTGTTCCTCACAAAGCTTGTACAAAGTGAAGAACTTCCTGGCTAAGGTGATGTTCTCCAAAAAGCCACAAGAAGCAAGTTTCACCCTAATGATAATTTGACGATCAGGTACCATCATGGCCACTGTCCTAAATTGAACTTTCAAGTTCTCTGGTAGTTCTTGGCGCCCAGCATACCCAGGGTTCTGCATAATAATATTGATATACAGTATTAAATCAGAAAAATAATGTAAAATGCTCAGAGGCCTTTTTATGAGAGATTAAAGAAGATTTTGTTTCACCATTGTGAGGAAGATGCCAAATTCAGGGTTCATGTCAACAATGTCCCCATCAGTGAAGGCAAATGTCTTCCTTCTGTCTTTCTTACAGGACAAAACAACTGCAATCTGCTGTGCAGCTACTGACAAAACAGGGAGCTCAATTCTGTTGAACTCATCAAAGCAACCCCAAGATCCAGACTGTGCCAATCCTGTTGACAAAGAAAAAAACAGCCATAAAATTGTTGCTTGAAAGGATTTAGCAATATGACAAACCTTTGTATATCCTTCCCAGCCCTCTGTAATCCATTTGGTCAGAGCAATTGAAGACCACCACATATTTGCCCAAAGTTTTTCCCATATCTTTGACTGTCTCTGTCTTGCCAGTTCCTGCTGGACCAGTTGGTGATCCTCCCATGCTCATCCCCAGAGCTTGTGCCAAAGTTATGTAGCATCTTTTAAAATGAAGAGATTTCTCTTGAAAAATGGATTATTCATTATATTCCCACATTTTAATCAATCAATTTTAACTTTTTTCTGTAAAGACAGAAACTCACCTTTATCAACCCAAAAGAAATGGTTTAGGATTTTTAAAATTTGTTTTTTTTGCTATGCAAAAGCGCATGAGTTACAGCACAATAAGTCATAGTCTTAGATTGAATATTTAGTTTTGGTCAGTTTTAGGCAAAAATGCTATATCATTTTGCAAATTCTGCCCCTGTCTATAGATTTTCTGGAATTGGAGGTACAGGAGGTGCCTTGAAAATTGACCCTAATCCATTGCCCAACCAGGGTTGAATTGCAAAGTGGTCTAATTGCAATTACAAGAAACTTTGTAAAATTTAAAAAAATTACATAAACGTTATAAAATTGGTCAAAGCCAGTCAAATTGTGGGGCAAGAGTCTAATTGGAAGTCAACCTCCCTGAATATTTGACTGTCAAATTGTAGGATGGTTGAATTGAAGGTTTTCAAATTGAAAGGTACCACCTGTACAAGGATATCATAGAAGAAACGATGGTTTACAAATTTTGCTACAATAAACAAAGTTACAGCATGAGGTCAGAAATTACCTGTCAGTCAATGGAGTAATGACCAGTCTTTCAGTACAGCCCAGAAACTCATTCTGATACAAAAAGTCCACATCAGTAATAGAAATGCAGGTTTTGTCCTGTTCTTCTTTGAAGTAGAACCTGCATTGCTTCAGCCACTCAAAATCCATCAGACTCTTGACATTCATTCTCACCTTGAAATAAAAAATCAAATTTTATCAAGTTTTATTGGTATTAAGAGGTCCAAACTTACCAGGTTGTCAAAAATGTCTCTTTGATGCACGTGGACAGTGATGAGAGTCTCAAACTTGGTTCTTTCCACAACTCCCAAGTCCCTGGTTGTTTGTGAAATTAGTATGTTGAGTAAATCCAAGAATCTGTTGTTTGTTTCAGCCATGATTTTCCTGTCAACTCTTGCATGAACAAGAGCAATTTCTGAATCCCTGGTCCAAATCATTTGTAACCCAAGGATTCCCACCTTCAAATAAAGTTGTCTCAATGGAGGGTCACAGATACAAAATAAAGTTTGCCACATACTTGAGCTGGATAAGTGGCAAAAAATTGAAGGACATTGAAATTGGGGTCATTTGCATACTGATGAGCAGAGCGTATGATGCAGTGCAAAGAATTCTGCGCCATTTGTAAAAGCCTCATTAGCCACACTTCCACACTGCCTTCTGCCCTCACTGGTCTCTCCAACTTGAACATGGAAGAAAAATTGATCCATTTTAAAAGTGGAGAAGAAATTAGGTAGAAAAATCCAAATGTTAAATATAATTATCAATTTGTGAAATACACTAGCAATATCACTTTATAGTTCATTTAGCGCTTAACACAGCAATGAAATTAAAAAAAGTAATAACAAGTACTTCAAATTTTCTCATCTTTAAAATGAGTTGATCATCATGGCAATTTTTGAATATATTTGGACCTTCTTTGCTTATCTGTCATTTATTTGAATACAGTACAGTACATTAAATCATCTGACAAGGAATTGTGTAGAAAAAATTAAACCGTTAGTCACCTGAATAGTTTCTCCTTCAGAAGACACAATCCCAGTGATACGGTCATAGTCCTGGTCATGAAAAATGACTGATTTAGTGTTGTCAAAGATGCTTTTCAAATGACCCTGGATTGTATGTGAATCTGAGGCTTGCCCAAGGATTTCAAGAAGAGCTGGGTCAGAGACAAAGAAAAACCTTGGAAACATAAGCCTCTTCCTCTCCAAGTATCTGGAAAAAGAAGAACAACTGTATATTATGCAATTAATGGTGAACTCAATAAAGATTTCACTAACCCCGATAAGGATTTTTGGCACAATTCCAGCTGTTCTTGCAAATGTGGCAACAGTTGCTTTAGGGAATCATCCCCAACACAACATTGAACTACATTTGGTAGCTCATGAGCCCTGCTCATGATTTTCTGCCATGATTTGTCAATGGCATAAAATCTGCAAGCAATCCAAAAAGGTGTCATTCATTCAAGATAATCAAAAATTATTTTTCAAAAGATAAAATATGCACCTTTTGGCTTCTTTGGGTAACTGCTTTGCAATGTCACCTCCAACAAAAACAGCTTCCAAGTAAACCCAGAGATTCTGAACAAACAACCATCTTTCAAGGATCTCATTTGTGTTTGACAAGTCTGAGACCCATTTTTGAATTTGCTTCCTGAATGGTGCATTGTACCTAAAAAAAAAATTGGAAATGATTATTTCAAGAGGGCAGTACATGAGGCTCAATTTTTCCTGCAATGACTTGTAGTGTCTGTCTCAAAGAAATGATCCCATCAGAGGATATTACAAGTGTGCAAATATTGTCTAACACTGGAAGTTATAAGAAAGAGTCAAGAAGAAAGTGTTAAAAGTCAATGTCCTGATTTTAAAATGCAATTTCTTGATTTTAATTTCTTGTACTGTAGTAGCAGTCTCAAATATGTTATCCCTGGAAACATAGTAGATGTAGGTGTGTCTCCTTTAATCAAGGTTTGGAAATGATCAAGTACTAAAATCTTTGCCAGACAAAAATAGTCTTGATTCAAATGAGCAATATACACAACACTGTAATTGATTAACCACAAGACACAGGGATCTGATGACTTCTGAACTAAACTGTCTCCTGAGCTAAAATGCCTATCTTCCTTAATCCTACCAGGGGTTTATATACTGCGGATTTGGGGGTACTACCAGGAAGGGGAAGGACACCTGTGTGCGCATGTGCAGGTGTCGTTTTACAACTTCCATGCGCCAGGGGTTACTATGCAGTTAGGGGGTTGCCATGTGCTGGGGTTGCTATGTGCGTGTTGTTGGGGATACACGTGTTGGTCAGTACATGTGTACTGGGATGGAAGAATATTAATATATTCTTTATATTAATCTATTATCTCTTCCTGGTGTTATTAATAACACCAAATATATATATTTGCACTCGCAATACATCGGGGAATTATATCACATAATTTCCATGGATAACAAATAAATAATCCCATCAGAAGCATCAAGCAAGTGTATAACAAAAACAAAATTTCAATTATAGGAATTGCCACATACAGCAATTATTGAACTCATACTAACGCACAAGGTGTTCAGCTTGCTCCCAGGTAAGGTTTAGATGATTGAACAGTTTGGAGAGAGTCTTTGGGAGAATCAATTTGGAGGAATGTTACTTGAACCTTGCATGTGAACACTGATAAGTAGAAAATAAAGCTACCTGCTCATTTGAATTCAATACAAATTGCATACAGCATTGCTTCTACTAAGCACTTCTCACCTGTTGGACAAGAGTGATCCAAGTACCATGAGACTGTCCTCAAGCATAGAGATGATCTCAGCAGTGTTGTCACCTCTGAGAAGCAATTCTCCTCTGTTCTTGAATGGCATGAAAGTCAACTCATGCAAGTTCCACTCATTGGTCACCTGCCTCAGCTTAGCCTCAATGTCCTTTTCTTTCACAGCTGATATGCAAATGTCCTGTGAACAAACCAAACAATGCATATATACAAGATGACCCAAAAATTTAGCATGCATCAAGAAACCTCAATGTCCTCTTTGAATTGAAGCAGAGGGGCTTGCATGATGTGCCTGAGGCAAAAGTTCTCTTGCTCCTCCATGCGGAAGTCATAAGAAGTGACTTCTGCTAATCTCTGCCAATGCCTTGCCTTCATTGCCTTGTTGGACATTAGCTCTAGCAGTGGACACATGTCATTGAAATCATCAATTGTCTTCTTCAGTGTGTTGAATGCTGGCCATTCTTTCAAGCCCTTTGGAAGTTTCCGGCACCTGTGGTGCATAGTTCATACAGATGTGACACAACAATCAACCAGAAGGCAAGAAATTGAAATCTGAAAAGAAAAGATTACCTGTTTTGGAATTCCAGAAGCTCATTGTTGATCTCCTCAATGTTGACTTCTGCCCAGAGGATGTCATAGTAGGAACTGACTCTGTCTGTTACATCATTGTAAAGTCTGTACAGCTTCTGAAGAAGGTTCAGCTCCTTTTTGATATGTGACAATTCTGGGTATTCTGATGGATCCATGCCAAAGAGTTCTTCACCAGCAGAATACACAATGTACCTTCTCCACAAGGAGTCAAAGCGATTCTGAAAATGCATTTCTTGCATTATTGCAACAGTAAAAAAAAATATCATAACAAAAAAGTCACTGATATTGGACCTAAAATATACCTATGCTTATACAGCTGAAAATGCATTAAATCAGGAATATAAAGGCATTGTGGTTGTACTGCAGACAAAACTTTCAAAAGTAAGCCAACCCCCGCACAATGGACTCAATTTGTGCCACAGATCAGTCTGTTGTCTGAAAAGTCTGTTATACAAATTCAATTATAAAATAATCAATTTTTTATATTTCAACCATTAATTTGAAACCAACAGAAGTCTGTTATGCAGATTCAGTCCATTGCATGGGAGGAAAAACTGCCTCCATAGGCAGTCTATTGTGCAAAAATCAATTGTGCAGGAGGCCTATTGTGTGGGGGTCAACTTTAATTCACTGTGACAACATTCAGTGTGGGTACAGTTTTATTTTTATATTTGCACAAAGTAAATGCAAAATTTCACACAGTTCTTTCTGAAATGTGCTACTTATTTAGTCACTTTTTCTATGACAAGTACAGTGGCCAACCGCCTAACAGACTTAATTGGTGCAAGGGATTAGTCCTTTGGGCAAAAAGTCTGTTGGGTGAGTTCAATTTTGTCTTAGGTTTACATGTTAAAAATCTTTGATGTGGTTTTAGTTCAAAAATGTAACAGGAAAAATAGGGAAAAACTTTGAAATACAGTCATTCTTTAAATGCTGAATCAGACCTAAGTTTTGTACACGTTCAAAACATGAAAGAAGAATGCCCATAATCCATTACTAAGTCATCAAAAAAGTGAAAAATTGAAACAACACACTGATTTTCAGAGTCACTGTTGTCATGAATTTTGTATTTGTTTTCTAATAGTGTGAATTCAATTATGTCTATTTATGGTTTTAAAAATAACTGTGGATCAAGGATAGTGAGTAGAGCATGGCACATTCAGAGGGTTGATAGGAGTTGATTCATTACCTGGCTTTTCTCTTCTGGGAAAGACATTTTGTATTTGAGAAAAGTGAGGAAAAAATGAATTGAAGTGCATCATCAGATTATGTCTGGACTGAAATCATCACCTGGAAAATAAGCAGCCTATCAGATGCTTCCCTTGGGGCCAACCCTGAAACCATGGGTCCACTGATGTGGTATTCCTTGCAATAGGTTTGACTGTCCTTTTGGAACTGATCCAAGTTCTTGATGAGGTCTTGCTTAAACTGGGGTTGCAGGGCTGCCAACAGGGTTTGCAGATCTGTAGCCTGGGCCTGCAACTTCTGCCAACTGTATCTCAGAGAATCTGCTTTCTCTGTTTCTTCTTTGCTCAATTTGACGTTATGCTTGGCCATCAGGGAGAAACAGTCCTATGAAAATATGAGAAGAAGTATGTCATAGCCATGAAGAAGTGGCAAGCGTCAAAGTTGTTGGAATGGATTTGAAATGTTTTTTTTTTTAGAATCATGGGAAGATAACCTCAATTGGATCAATGGCCATTTCCATGTCAATCTCCTTGTCTCTGATTAGTCGCAAGGCATGCATGCCAAGTCTCAGGTCATCCAGATCTTTTATGGGCCTGCTCAATTTTCTGCTCAGGTCATTTATTTGTGCCACAATCTTGTCCATCTTTCTTCTGTATTCAACTTTGCAGGATTTTCCATATCTATGGATCCAATTCTCAGCTTCCCCTCTGAGCATGTCCTTCAAGTCACCTAAATTCATCAAATACTCAATTCTTGTTCTCAAAACATTAACATGAATGCAAATTAACTTACAGCAGGAGATTTCAATTGCTCCAATGAAATGGACATCAGGTTCTTCAGTGACTCGTTTTTCCAGGTCAAGAAAGTAATTTATCTTGTCTTCAAAATCCACAACAGTAGGGTTTGTTGATAGATAGTGTTTGAGAGCCCCTTCTCTGTCAGTGTCTGTCAGGCTGGAATAACTTTCCCAGTGCAAGAAAAATTCCTTGGTTTCCTGTAAAAGAAAAAAACACAAGCAGATCTTCTCATATGCTATGTTACTAAAAATACAATTGTATGATCTGAGCTGAAATTTTACCTGTTTGCATGTCTGAAGACAGTTCATGATCAGACTCATGGATTTCTGCACATCCTTGTGCTCAGTTACACTGTGGTAATAGTTTTTGGGCCTGATGGGTTGAATTGCATAAGTGTCCACAGTTGCAGCTCTGCCTCTTTTGATTAACCATGGCTTCTTGGCCTTCAAGGCAGCCATGTTCTTTACAGGACTTGACCCTGAAGATTGTGTTGGCTGTTGGATTTGCTGCTGTTGTTGTTGTTGTTGTTGCTGAGTTGCATCCTAAACACAATTTCAATCAATAAGATGTTCCTGGAAGATGTGAAATGTTGCATCAAGCTAAAAATTCCTTTTGTAACAAAAAATCCAACCAAATCAAGAGGACTCTAAAAATGAATTTAATATGAAAATAAATTCAAATAACATAAACTCATACTGTATATAATGTACAAAATGTTGTAAGCCAATACAAATTTAGCATCATGCAACTCGCAAACAAAGACCATAACTTGAGGATTGAATATTTATTTATTTCAACAGTCATGGTTTGTTTTATAATACTGAGTTGGTGTTGCCAAGATTTACTCCCATATTTCTGCCCATTCAGTTTAAAATTAAACCATGCAGCTAAAGAGTCTACAGTCAAGGGCAGTAAATTTAGCACTTCTTCAAATGGCTTGAAAATTTTTTTCATGTGAAAAAGTGCTCTCATATTTGCATTTTTCATCTCCAAAACTAAATTTGAACTTATAATTGGTCTGATGACTCAGTGACATAACAACTGTAGATCCAATAAAAGTCTGAATGATATACAGTGAGAGACGCACATGTGGACACCTTGATATGTTAACAATTTGACTTAGGGACATTTATTTTCCCACAAAAAGGCATAAAAGGCGTAAAAAAGGCCCAACATGTGGAGACTGGCATGACATGTGGACATGGCATGGTAAAATATGTTTCAGGAAAAGTGACTTTTATTGGACTGAATCACAAGAAACAGATACTCCCAACCCTTGAATATTTCCAAGAAAAATTCTTTAGCATTTCTCCCATAATTTTTCCATCCATTCAGCTAATTAAAAAAAATTGCCTCCAGCATAGAGGGACTTCCTCCTCTCTTTGCAACTTGAATGTAATTTTTACAGATGCCAACATTTCAACGTGCTGATGCGCAGACGTGGACTATTCAATGCTCCAAAAGTTCTTATTGAGTTGAAAGATATTGAATGAATCAATTTTAATTGGCGGACAATTTTTGCTCATATAATTCTGATGAATATTTCTTCCGTAAAACACCGCTTAAAAATTATATAATGTAAGTCTATAGGAAAACAAGACTCAACTTAGGGACATTTTGACTTAGGGGCACTGGTGATGCACCAATTATGTCCACATTTCAGGGTCTCACTGTACAGTTTTAGAAATTAATTTTTTTCAGATAATTTTTTGCTCATTTCAATAAAAATGTCTCGATTTTTTGCTTAAAGACGCATCCAAAAATACTGTATATTATCATAGCATTTTTCAGGGATGTTAAACCTGCATTCAATACCCAAACAGGGGGGTTATTGCAAAGAAATATAAGCCATGCATCATGCAAACATGCATATGAACATGTGCCACTGGAGAATACTTTGATTATGGGTCTGGTACACTTGCTGTCCTTGCTCATGGTACAGAGATGTGGTAACTGGTATGCCAGGGGGTGGCGTCCCGCAAAAACCAAGATGGGACATCTTGAGGGGAGGCAAGGTATGGATTTGATTCAGGGTCTACTTTCAAGGGTCCAGGGATTATACCTATAATAGATTTTTCCAGGAAACAAACCTTTTCAGCAGGAGCTTTGGTTCCTGCACACAATGGTTTCTTGGCCTCTGTCAGACAATGAGCTATCATTTTTATTTTCCTTGCAGTCCTGATTGCATGCATGGCCTGAACAATTGGATCAACAACACACCTTGTTAGACAAACAGAGCAGCAGTGGAAGTAGTCCAATATAGAATATGTTGAACAAGATATGGTACCATATCTCCATGTTGATCATGTACCTTTCATTCTTGCTTTTTTTTCAAAGTGAGATTGAGTGCAAAAGATGGGAAAAAGTCATGATTGATGATGTGGAGATGAAGAATGGGCAAAGAATCTGTATAGTTTCACTGTTGAGTCCTCACCAGACAGTTCATAGCAGCCCTGGTAAGGATTTTAGCTGCTCCTAATGGTGGCTTTGTGCTTGAAGGTGGTCCACCATTGTTTTCAATGCTTTCACTACTGCTGGTCTCCTCCTTTACTAAAGGAACTATTTCTTGCCTTTGGCTGAGTTTGGGGAGACATGAGCGGTAAGATTCATCTGAAATGGTCTTCCAAATGACCACATCCTTCTTCATGGCTTGTGCCAGAAATGTCAACTTGATGCAGTGCCACAAAAAATGCAAATTAGGATATGGAAATAGTCTTTCTTTCTGTCTATCTTCATGGAGGGGGACACACATGGTAATGCTCTAAATTGAGATGATTGGTCATAAATAACAATATTCACAATTAATTTTTTTTCTATTTACAGGTTACACCAGAAAGTGTTAATTGAAACAAGTTAGAAACAAGTTTTGAAAAAAAAACCATGAAAGATGTGAGCATTTACAGCTAAAAATCAAAGTTGATTTCATTCATTTTTAATTTTGGAAATATTGCACATTATCATCTGCAATATTATGCTTAATGTAAAAAACCTTTGAAAATGTTTCCCAAGCAGGAAGAAAGTTTTATGCAAATTACTAGAATTGAAAAAAGATTGACTGCTGTAAATATGATATCCATGCTCATAGAAATTTTATGTTCTTGGTTTTTCATAGTACAGTAAACCCACTTGAAAGCCCATAAAGCAAAAATCCCAAACTTATTGACTTACATTTTTGGTAAAATTGAATTACCACATACTCAAGCCAAAAGAGCACACAGATTTTCTCAATCCCTTTGGAAATGATCAGTGTGCAGTACTTTGATGATATTTTAAAATTCTGTCCACCAACATTTTGGGTAATAAATCATAGTGATCCTCATGGTCCTCTTTTGAAGACAGCACCAATGTTTTCCAAAAAAAACATGATGAACTTTCAATTTTGAAGAGCTGCACTGCTTCAGGAGATCCATTACATCATATTTATGCATGCTTCACAAACGCTGCTACTATTGTATTTTGAACATCAACTATAGAAGCTAATTATAATCCTGTATTCACATGATTGCATCAGTTAAGTGCTCTACAACCATCCAGCAGCAACACATCAAGCTTGTCAACTGTGAGATGCAAGTTAGTCACACACATCACAATTTTCTTTGTTTACTCATCACCAAAGCATAATTTGAAACCACTTGCCTGATAATTCATAAAATTAAAATGTTCCATATTTACTTGAGGCATTTTAGAGTATGCACAGGCTTTTTATCATAAAAACACCTATATAACTGGCTCCAGGTTTTATGAACATTTAGGCATACATCCAAATGCTTTCTCATCATGAATGAGACACTCACATTGTCTCCCAATGCCCTTCTTTGCTTGGCCCATTGTCCAACAGCTTTAGATGCTGAAGTTATGATTTTGGCTGCCTTGGCAATGTGTTCCTGGATTTCCTCAAGGGATGGAGAAATCTTGAGATACTGAGTGCCAAGCTCAGCTTTCACTCTGAACATTGGACAATGCTTTTTCCTCAGGCTGTTGCGCAGACTGAATGATGCCTCTGTTTGGCCTGGGATCATTGGAGCTGAGATCACCTCATGCTCTGGCCCTGCAAAAAGTAAACCAATTCCAAGATGCATTGCAGTTAGGACTCAAATTATGGGACATGTTGCTTATGGTCTGATTGGCTTAATACAGATGCTGACATGTGGGTGAGATTAATTTTGATGTGCAACCAATTTTTGTTCAAGGAAAAATGCAAGGTGACACAATGATAATTCTGAGTAAATTCTCTCTAAAAATGACACTTCAATGATTAATAATTACCATCATACAGTGCTAGGAATAACTATTTCAGCACATTAAAATTGAAAGTGAAGTTAACAGCGTTGGATTCTGAATGTTTGCAACTTTGATGACCCTCTTATTTGACTTGAATGGCTTTATGAATCAAAACTTTAAATTTAAAGTTTTGAAGAAAGGTGAAAGGCCAACAAATTAGCTTGAAAAATGCCATGTTTTTTGTATGTGCTGTACTCACCATTGTCTTGGTCACATTGATCCAGAATTCTTTTCCTGATTTCATCCAAGGCTTTCTTGGTGCTGTTAACAATAGCCTCCAAAACCCTCATGTTGTAGTACCTTCAGGAGAATTGAAAGCAAATTTTCAGATAATTTTATTCATAAAAAGCCAGGTTGAAACTTCCATGGATTTTTAATTTAAAAAATTGGAGTTGGAGCTAAAAAAAATTTTTTCAAGCCATACTTTTTTTTTTCAAAAAACAATCAGTATAGTTTACAGGCATAAGTGCCAGCTATAAGTGCCTAGAAAGATCACCTCTTGAGTTCCTGAGCAGCATGGTTGACCCTATCAGTAAGTTCCTTTTTCCTCCTAGCAGCTTTCTCTTTTTGATTCCATGCCAGTGAATTGGGTGCTGGACCAGAGGCCACACTGATCAAACTACCATCCCTCATGTGATGATCATTGGGCACTTGCAAAAGATGTCCAGCACTGTCTGGTGTATGAGAAGAGTCAGAGTCTTGATGCAAGCCACCATCAATTGGTGCTGGAGCAGCATTGTCAGACAGTCCAACATGTTCTTGAGTATCACTCATGGATGAGTCATTCCTTCCTGGAGTTGGTGACCTGGAATCTGTTGTTTGATTGCTAGGACCTATGAATAGGGAATGAAAGTTTAGAAGAAGGATTACCACTAAGAAAAATAATGACTTTTGTTATTTTGGTAATGACCTACGCGTTTACCTCCGGTCGTCAAACAGGTACAGGAGTCGACTACCCCATTATGACTTACGTTGTTACCATGGTAGAGACAAAAGGTGACCTAGTCACACGTCAATAAGGTGCAGCAACTCTTCCACAGAGTCCTCCATCAACTAATTAAAACATTGGTATACTCAAGTTTACAGTTGTGCCCAAAGCTATAAATTAAATTTCATGATGTGCACAGGTTCTGAAAAAATGGTACAGGAACCATCCAATTAAAAAAAGAACAAACCATGTATGAAATGGGAATAACATGGTCTGTAATTTATTACACAAAATGTTAGTTTGGTAACAAAACTAAGCTCAATAAAAGATTCAGACATTGCAAAAAGTGTCTAGCAGGACTTATTGTCAGCATATTTACAATCAGTAAGTTTTATTATATTTTTTTTGGAAAATGCTCAAGGATTGTAGCCCTCTGCCAGTTGTATTAGAATTTGAAGGCCTAACTGTGTCCATTATGTTGCTCATACCTGGCTTTTGCTGTGGAAATATTTTGCCTGTTGTTGGGCATGGTCTCTGGTTTGTACCAAGAACTCTTCAAGGGTCCAAGGTTCTTCTTCAGGCAATACATGAAGCTGGATGTCATACATGGAAAACAAAACTGCTTCCATCCGATTTTTGTATATGTCTGATAGCCTGTTTTGGAAAGATTGTTAATTTCAATGAGTAATTAGTCAATGTGAGTGGAACAATGTTTTTTGTTTTGTTATATCCATTGAATTTAAAAATGTTGAGTTGAATGCCTTTAAAGTGAATGAATGGATAAAATGGCACAGCAGGTGATTCTTTACTATGGGAGGATATGAAATCACTTGCCTATCAATCAAAGTCTCCAAATTCTTGAGCACTGCCAAAGTGCCCTGGAAAAATTCTTTTACTTGCAGTGAAGACCAGGTCAGTTGGTAGAATGCAGGCTCCATGCACTCTATGCACTCATCAACCCTGCCAAGATGACTCACCAGCAAAGACTGCAAACTTCCAGGAATCTTTTTCTGCACTCTCTTGTATTCCCTGAGCAAATGCTGATTATGGAATAAATTCACAGTAAAAAATGTGATTCAATAGTGGGACAAGTTTGAGGATGAAGAACCTCTAGCATGGCTCTTTTGTGAAATAGTTTCCCCTTGCAGGCAATGAGGGCTTCAGTCACAGCAGGTACAAGTAAGCCAAGTTTCTTCATACACTCAGCCTCTCTGATGACTGTTGCTATGTCTGGGTCAAAGTTCACCAGGACTTGAATTCCAACTTCAGTCTGCACTCTCACCAGCAAAGTGCATGACAAGCTGAACTGAACTTGATCAATCTGAAAGTGAATGTCAATGATTTCAGGCCATGTACAGGTTGTATACTTCAATTCAATCCTAATCCACTGCTGGGCTAGGGTTGAATTGTGAAGCCGTCAAATTGCAAGACAATGTCAAAGGCCATGCTTCCTACACTTAATTTGATGTTTTGTGTCTCTCTGCTGGTTGAATTTTGGGGCATAGGTTGAATTGAAAATCAATCTCTCAGCAAAGTTGACCATCAAATTGCGGGATGGACAAATGGTGGGAGGTCAAATTGCAAGGTACCACTCTTGTGTGTTCTCTTTTGTTTTTGTCATCGGTTTGTGCTTTGTTCCATGCTTTGAAGTGATTGAATGTCTTTGGGGGGAGTTGGGTTGGGTGGGGAGGGGGTTTGGATGCGGGAATCTTGGTTGTGCCTTGTGAACGCTGAAAAGCGGCAAATAAAGTTTTCTGTTCATTTCTTTCAGTCAGGACTTGTGTGAATAATAAACAGTTCCAAAAAGTTGGCCAGAAAATAATTTCCATTCATTGATTTATCCGGATGCAGGAATCTTGGTTGTGCCTTGTGAACGCTGAAAAGCAGCAAATAAAGTTTTCTGTTCATTCATTCAAGGTACCAAATGTATTGATGCATAGGAATCATGAAATACTCACACTTTCATCACACCAGTTGTCATGAAGCATCATTTCATACTCTATTATGGTCTTGGATATTAATGTGTAACGTTGTATGAGTTTGTCTGCCCCTGGTTGCTTTAGGATCCTTGGGTGTCCCTTGAACTGCCTTATGGGTCCAGCTATTTGCTCAAACAGTCCTCTGATCCACCAGATCCTGCCTGGATATCAAGACCAGACTATCATATCCTCAACAAAGATATGAATAAATTCTCTCACCTTCATGATCAAATTTAAAACCTGAATTTTTAAACATTTGAGAAGCATAACCAGCGCAATGATGCATTCACAGCTTTTGAAACAGTAGAAAATGGATTGTATTTTTATTTCCTAAAGTTGAACATCCCCAAACTGAATTTGAGGGGACTCCAAAAAAATGTTTGACTTGGAGTTAAAGCATTTGACTGCATCTGGATAAATCAATGAATGGAAATTATTTTCTGGCCAACTTTTTGGAACTGTTTATTATTCACACAAGTCCTGACTGAAAGAAGATGTACTGTATAATCTGTTTTAGAGTACTTTGCATTAAAAATATAATTTGTACCTGTTATTTTTTGTTTTCTGGAGCAGAGTGTTCAAAACTTCAGCCAAAAGCAAGGACCTTGAAACTTGAATCAAGGAGGTTTATCTTGATATGTTTGTTTTAATATACAGTATTTAAATTACATTGGACTTGAAGAAATTGGCCAGGGTTAAACTTTCAATTTCAAAGAGGAAGGTTTTGAATTATAGGGAGGTTAAACTTGCCAAGATCCAATCGTATAACATTACAGCCCAGCAAATAATTTGGATGTTGCAAAATGCCTTGGGAGGGCGTTCTCATGCCATTATGGCAAGACTGTTGTGAAAACGTCATCTTAGTCTGTACTCAACGTACTGTACATGAAAAATTTACATCTACAAGCTACAAAAGGAGCTATTCAGGGAATTGCAGTATTTTCATGGACTTAACGTTCGCCATATTTTTCTGCGTGTATATAAACGACACTTACCAGCAACTGGAGGCATGTTCCTCGGAATCGGCGGACTTTCTTTCAGTCGGTTGTAAGTGAGTTTTACTCTGTCCAGTGTTCTAGAATAAGTGGCCAAGATGGCGGAGCACTTGGCGTCTATATTCAGCCCCGGAACCCGTTCACTAAGCCGTTCGAATCTAATTGGCACATATAACAACATTAAAACAAATTTGTGTTAATTGGAGCCAGAACCGAAAGAAAATCCCGATTATCATGAATCTTCTCATGAGACAAACCTTCCTAGGAAGCTCATGCCCAAATGGGCGGAGCTCCACACAGCACTGAACTGCTTCTCCAACATTTTGCGGATCTTGTTGATTAGCACGCCCAAACGTTCGTTGAACTTGTCGTAATCAGCCTCGAATGTCCTTTGTTTCGCGTCCAGGCAATCGTAAGATTTCCGCGCGATGGAGTCGGACATTTCGTCAAACGACGCCATGATTTCTCCGAGGGCTTCACAAAGGGAATACAAAAAAGACGTGTCTTAAATAAATTTTTAATTTTATTTTCCGATGATCATCTCACCTTTGTCTCTGGGAAGCAAACCTGCAAAATGCAGAGCAAAGCGCAGTGAAAAAAAACAGAATCAGTTTTCAAGCTACAATAATACCTCATGATTAATTCGAGTTATCACATTATTTAAAAACAGTGTTCCCCAACCTTTCTGTGCCCAGACTGGATAATTTCCATACAATTTTTGGCAGACCGGCATATTCCCAAAGGTTCTTAAAATTTTTACAGACTGGAAAAAATTTGCTTGATGGACTTTAGGGCAGGTATATAAAAGTTTCTGCTTCTTGAAAAAATCAAGTTAAGCACCTATGAACCAGCAATAGCAGCTGAATGTCATCAAAAACGTAGAAAGGTGAAAATTAAAATAATTTATTTCAGCAGGTAAAAATGTGTCTGAAGTGTTATTAGGATAAAAGCCAACTTTCATTTTTCATCAAATGCTTTCAACTGCGTGTCTTCCCAAAGGTTTAGATAATGATAACAGAGTTCATTGCTAATTCAAGTAAGTGTATTATGCTGGACCACAGGTTGGGGAACACTGCTTTAAAACAAAATGAAAGTTCATTCAATTATCTTTTAAATCATATCTGATTTGATGGGTTCAATTGCATTGAAACACTCAACATGCGGCTTTCAAAAAAATTATCCTTTTGCAGGAAAATTATCCTTTCTCAGTCCACAAAGCAAAGCAGAAAAAAGTTCATCAGCAAATTTTCTTTAAAAAAAATTCTTACCGTACATTAAATTTCAAATGCTGTACATTATTTTAGGCTCCTCCTTTCAATTGCAAAACGGGGAGGGTCAGTATATACTAACCATCCACCCCAGAGCCAAGGAACTTTTTGTATTTGTCAACCAGGTTGAAGAGCTCCATGATGAGTTGGAGGCGGCGACAGAAGGCGTCAAACTTGCCGAAAACGTAGTGGGCGGAGAAGTTGAAGGGGGCGTGGTTATTGGTGGCCAAGTGCTCCTGGGCTTGACGATACGCCCTCCGGTATTCAGTGTGCAAATCCAGACAGTCGCGCAATTTCCGCAAAACTTCCGCCCTGGGCTGGGACCAGATCGTCTCCAGGTTGTTGCAGGTTATGTACTTCCGGCAGGACTTTATCATCTGATTGGTCACCTGCAGCGAATGAGAATATTAAGGGAGGCGTGGTTTGATCTCGGAAAATGGAAAATGAAAAACATTCAGGAAAAAAAGCTATGCCTCACATCGATTACTGATGCTTCATTCAAAACATTTCGTGAAGTTTACTCACTATACTGCATTAAGTCTATGCGAGGGTTGTCCCAGTTCCACGTAGGAATGCATACATTTCTAACATTGTTGAAAATGCGATATTTTATATAATTTCCCTCCTATGTTTTTTATCCTAGGTATACAGTATGGTTTTGTCTTGGGTTTTAAAGAAAATTCCCAGGACACTGAATTCTATGAAAGATGAAAACTTTATCTTATTAAAGGCCAGGGTGTTTGACCAATAATTTCCAAGCAAATTGGAAATTGATCAGGGTTTTAAAAATTAAGTCAACAAAAATAATGATTGTCATGATATGAAATATGTAAATAATCTCTTGTATGTAACTGCAGTAAGTGTGGTACAATGATGTGGTTGGCCTGAATAAAATACAATACTGTATACAGGTGGTAACCTGCAATTTTACCCTAATATGTTGCCTGGTAAGGGTCAAATTGCAAAGCCATCAAATTTGACATTTTGAGCCACTCTGCAGGCTGAATTGCAGGGAAAGAGGTTGAATTGCAAGTCAACATCTTAGCAAATTTGACCATTGAATTGCAGGATATCAAATTGCAAGGTACCACCTGTATTAAAATCATTTACAACTTTTAAAAGAAATGGGAGAAGGAAATCTGAATGTAAACTAAAACCCCCCATTGCTGAAATCAATAACACAAACCTTGATCAATAATCCTGAAAGCCTTTCAGAAGTGTTGTAGTATGGAGAGATGACATAAATCATCCTGACAGTGTTGAAGAGACTTGGAAGAACTTTCAGCATTTCATTCTGGAAAGCATCATGAAGAATAAGCAGTCAATTTTTTTCTTTGATGATTTCAAAGTAGCCACTTACTGGACCACTGAGGTATAAAGGATGACATTGCTTCTCAATCACTATGATGTATCTTAGATTGGTTCTTGAGATGTTATACATCTCAATTACCCCAGCCTCCACATTCTTCCAGTTTCTGAACAAGCGCCCTCTGGCTGCTTGTAGAGCTGATATGTAGATATCCACCTGATTCCATGAAAAAAAAAACATCCTCATTTCACTTCAACAAATAAATATAATCTTGCTTGTGGAACACTCACATCTTTTCCCCTCATTTGACTCATAAGGCAAAAGAAGAGACAGGTTTGCTTTCTCCAGTATTCCAACTCCTTTTGAGGTCCAGCATCATCAACTTCTTTTCTAAGTTGGTTGCTCTCATTCAAGACCTTTGCAAAATGAAAAGTGAAATGCATAGTTAATTCATGAGACATTGTCCTATAGGCAGACTTACTCCTTCAAGAATTGTTATCCATTTTCTGAAAGAAGCCTCTAGTTTCACCAAGTGCATAGGTGTAGTCAAAGCTGGTAGGATTTCATCTTCATGAAACACTGAAACATTCCTGAGAAGGTCGCACTCTGGCAAAATCACTTTTTCCCTGAGTGCTTCTTCAGATGCTAAAAAAGGAATGTACAAGTATGGAAGTACACCATTCATAAAGGAATGATTCATCACACACAAAAAAAGACAGTGGAAAAATGATAGATACTTTTTGGCACAAGTCAGAAAAGAATCCTATATACCTAAACAGACACTTGCAAAAGACTGCAGAGCTGCCAATAGGTCCTCTTTGGCAACTTTGCCTGGTGAAGTCTTGTCCAGTTCACAATGTCCTTCATTGAGAACTGGGATGAAGACCTTTGTTATCAGTCTTTCAGGAACATTCAATAGAGCATATTGGTCTGCTGACATGTACCCAAAGGTCACCTCCTGTAAAATGAAGACTTGAATCTTAATGTATACTGTAGTTTGTAAAACCTTACATAACCATATGTAGACTAAACTGTAATTTTACTTTGAGTAAAAAAATTTGGAATTGTATGCTGCATGCTTATTCAGAAGTGCTCTCTTGAAAGGTGGGAAGAAAACTGGGGATTAACAATTCTGAAATGTGCAAGAAAATAAATGGATGAACACAAAAATACTTTTTTTTCCCATAATATGGGGTTAATTTTCAGATGAGGAACAAGTCATCTGTAGAACCCAAGCAATACTTGTTCTTTCAATTCAAAAAAATACCACAGGAATGAGAAATTCACCTTGGGGATGTTGTCTTCGGTGATGTTCTTGTCGGGATTGATTTTCAAGGCGTAGATGCAAATGCCAGCAAGCGGCAGACTAGAGCCATCTGTGAGGAAAAGTTTCTTGCGCGCAACGGCCTGCGGTGCAGGTGTCACTCCTCTCGCTCGGGCTCGAGCTCCACTGCTCCCGCCAGTAGGTGTCACTACGGGCGAACTGAAGCGGTTGATGGGTGGCAACATTCCGCCTGATTCGGCTGCCACTTCGGCAACACTGGCTTCCAAATTCAATTGTTGCGTGGTGACAATGGCTGAAGGGGATGTCAGACTGCTGCGACGGGTTGAGGATTCACCATCATCAATGGTTTGATGGAACCAGACCAGTTTGGAATTTGTGTCAGATGAAGAGAAAAAGGCTCCAATTGTGTCCAACTGTGGAATAATAGAGCAACCATCAAAGAGGGCCCCTCATTATTGTGAGCCATCTCAATGGCAGAGTTGTCGAAAAAAAAATTGCAAAGGCCTCAAAATATTTGCACAACTTTCATGAATGATGTATAATTTTCCTTTTCTGAGATTTTATTTTCCCACATAAACTGATGGAAGTAGCATACTTATCAAATAACCAAGTTAATTTTCAAGACAATAATGACATACTGCTGTTTGAGTTTCAGCAAGTTAAAATGTTGCAATTTTTGAAAAAGCAAAAGCTTTGTAAGAAAGGTTCAATCCCCCTTGGCACCATCTTTTCGGTACTATTGGAAACCCTTAAAGAACCATTTTTGTCTCTATATCTTGGAATAAAATTGATGAATGATGCCAGGAATGTCTCCATCTCTTGCATTCCTTTACCCTTTCTTGGGAAAATTTGAAACATTGTTCAAATGCTAAATTATGTGCACTATTTTTTTCTGGGATTAAGTAAAAGTGTTAGTGACCATCATAATGGAAATTATTTATTCTCTCACTTCATCTCTAAATGTCTAGAATGGAATAAATGCAATGCAAAAATTAATGAAGAACATAAATATTGTACTGTAAACGCACCTGGTCCCCTTCCAGCAGGTTGTCAAGGATCTCCATCCTATGCATACCAATGAGATATGACAACACTGAAAATATGTACTCATAGCGTTGATCCAAGTCACCTCTCCTAGTCTTCCTCTGCTCATCAGGTTTATTCCTGCCTGCTGCCCCAGAAAGCTGTTTGAAAGAAATAATTGAGAATTTTCATTTGTATACATTTATGAGAATGACCAAACAGTGTTTGGGACAAATAAATACATTTTTAATAAACTTTTTCAACATACACATGGCCAACAATGACAAGTCCTTAAAATTAACCGGATGTACAAAAAATCTTAATGAACTTAAATCTTATCAAACTCACAGCAAAGCCACATGCATTATTTTGGACATATAAAAGAACGGTGTCACTAAGAATTCATTGCACCAAAAAGTTCGGACATTTTGTATCTGTTTGGCAAAGACATTGATAACAAATAATATTTTTAACAATGGTTTTGTAAAGACTTTCGCAGCAAAATTCTACCATAAAACGCAACTCATGTATGAAGTTATAGTTGCACTGTATATGTATAAGGTTAAAATGTGAATCATCAGTGTATGTATGAAAGACAAGAATTCAAACAAGTCTCACCTTTTTTCCAGAGGATGCTTCAGCCATGTTTTTGGGCCTCTCACACAGATCAGTTATAGAGAAGCAGTCCTATTTAGTGTTAACCATGCACAAAAGAGAACACTTCACCTAAATTGGAAAAAATCTGTTGTCACTCTTGGCATCAGTTATTTTCTGCTTGAGCTTAATTTTCTTTAAAATTGTTTTTCCCCAAAAACTGACGTATGAGTTGTGCATATTAGGGGATTATATGGGGCAGAGGAAGGATGAGAACTGCTGGACTGGCTGAGGCAAGGGGCTCTGCTTGTCCACCCTGGAAAGTCTTCCTGGTGTGTTTGCAGCAGGAATTGATCAAACCATCTCATGCACCTTTATATCTAGCAAGCGATCACGGGAAGGAGGGACTGTGTTCAGATGCTAGCTTCTCTCTCTCTCTCTCTTTCACCACAGCAGTTGACTTTCCATGGGCCAAAATAACATGCCAGGATTCAAGGGCTCCTTCTCATAAATCTATACTGAATATATTTGCCATCTGCTGAGGGTGTGTGTATGTATATATCAGTGTATGTCTCTTAAATAAAAAATTCAGCAGATGCTCATGTCAGATTACAAATACGATGCCTGCAGTGTGACAAGATTCTCCTTTTTTATACCTGCTGCAGTGCTGAGACTGCTGGCCAGGTTTGTTTTAATTTTACTGCAATACACTCTCTTCTGATTAAAATCTTCAGATCCTGCAGACGCTTTGAAAGAAATCAATGTTTTAAAAAGTACCAAAACCACTGAGAATTTTGTACACTGATATGTATGAGCACATTTTTATAACAGTGCCTAAAATATGCAAGTAAATCTTGTCACAACAAACTTTCAGGATGCTTGAATAACATTTCAAGAAGATTCTCATTAAAAATTCAGAATTGAATTGGGTAATCATTCACAATTCACCAATCTCTTTATAAATTGCACTTTTATACCCATACCTTAAGCAATCAACAAAGTTTCACAGCAGGATTTCAGGCAAATTTGAGGAATGAAAAAACTAAATATATTTTGTATAATTCAACTTGAATTGGAGAATTATTTCATAATCTTCAAATTTCATTTTTACAACCCTACCAGAACATGATCAGCAAAGTTTCAAAGCAAAAAAAAGAAAGAATGAAAAACCTAAATATTTTGCATAATTCAACTTCTGTTCCCAGCGAACGAAGGTTTACATTGACCATAAAATTTTGGCTCATAACATTTTGGGGAAGAATAAGTGCATCAAAATTTGAACACTGTTCACTATATGTTTACTGAAAAAAACCTGCACCAAGACTTCTCAACGTGGCCGAAGTATGAAGAAATTTCTGTCTTACTTGGCGACTTTCATTTTTTGAAGGATACATTCTTTCAAGTGGTCATTGCGAACATATGACAAAATCAAGATCCACCAGAAGCTACCGACCTTTAATTTGAGGCATTGACCAGTTTTCCATCTTTTGCAGTGACTGAAATGGTTTAAAATCCTGCATGGTCCACCATTATTAATTTTACTGTAGTTGAAATTTTGTGGACATGAAGCTACACCGAAGAAAACGACGCAGAGATCCTCACTTGAACTTGCATTTTTCATTGTCTTCCTCGCTCAGAATCATTCCAAGATGCCTAAAAATGCCGTTACAAAAAGGCCTTCAGACTGCAGAAAGAAATATCCAACATGGCGACATATATTTTCTTCGAAGATGCTTTCAAAAACATGGAATTCAGCGAACGCTTCACTACTGAATTCCCCACTTTTAAGATAAAAACCGTCGTCTCACTATAATGCGCTTTTTCTTTCTTTTGATCCCATGTTGAAAACGTGGGCAAAAATGCGAATGAACCCTCTTCTAAAATGGCAGAATACTTTCAGGCTTCTTCCAAATCCGAAAGCTCTCAAGCGGAATCCTGATGCGTACGTTACGTCACGCATCGAAAAAACAGTAATAGCTGTACTCTATCGTACTTCAAAACTTTATTCATTGGATTACCTGAGATAATTCCTTTCGTTCAAATGCTCGACCAAGATGAATTTTTCGCCGATTATTCCGGGATGTCCAATTTCCGCGCGAAATTTCATTTTATTTTTGGCAAAAATTTGCGCCATTTCAGATCATAATCATTTCTTCTCTTCGAAATTGTTGCGAATTTCCTCAAATATTTGTACCAAGAGAGATTAAAGAGAAAATACAATGTGGCCATACTGCATCCCAAATTAACCTAACAAACGAGTTGATTTTCTGTAATCTAATGCGAGGTTTTAGGCGCAAAAAAAAACAACGAAGATTTAAAAGTGACAATTTCAAGCTGGAAGACGAGAAATCAGCACCCAAACTTGGCACAGGATGAATCCCTGAATCGAGAAGAATCAGGCCAAATGCATGAAAAATGTACAAAAAAGAGAGAATGAAACGAAGGACCGAGTTAAAATCAAAATTTTCGATCAACTGCTGATGAATTCGTTTCAAAACTGCACGCTGAAATCAGACATCCATGGAACCAATAAGTTTCAGGCGACAACTTCATATTTGACCTAATCCAAAGAAGAAAAAAAAAAGCCTCAAACAATAGTTTTTCCAAGTCTCATCACATTTCGTACTTCCACAACCCAAACACCCGCCCCCACCCTTGGCATAGCGCAAAAAAAAAAAAAAAAACCAACACCCGTCGCATTCAACTCAGCAAAATTTCTCATCATCCTTGTCTTTCTCAGCACTTTTTTTTTCGTCTTTGTATTTTCATTCATTTTACAGTGTGCAGTTGACGTTGGATCCATAGAGAATCACGAGCTCCGGCTTCACCACACGTCTTATGAAGGCGCTTTGTTTCGTAGACAAGGCTTCTCTCCAAGGGATCCGAACGTACTGCTTGATACCGGGACTGTGCACCAGGAATGCAGAGTCCAGCACCGCAAATTTGTAATTCATCGCACACAGGGCATACATCTGAAGAAAAAGGGATGATCAAACTAATCGAAACAAAACTGCAACGACATCAGCATAGAATCAACATTTTCCCGAATTACAAAATACGTATTCCGCCACCATGAGAATCCGGGCAACAAACGTTTGTACGCATGCCAGAAAACATCATAGAAAAATTAACCCTTTTGAGCCCTCTGTGTTTGTGTTCTTGAGGGAAACCCAGATTTAGTGCCAACTCACTTAATATCGTACAAAATGTCCTGTCCTGAATGAAAAAAATAGGCCAAACATCAGAGAAATTGAGGCACATTTCTAGGGAAATTACAAGTTCATCACTGAGAATCACATGTCCATGCTTTGGATAATTTTGAAAATTATATTTCTGAGTTCACATGTGCTTGGGTGGAATTATTTGGATGTCCTCCACAGAACATAGTATCTCAATAACTGGGATAGTGCTCTTAAATAATAAAAATCACTCTTCCTGATCTTCAAATAAAGGTTTTTCCAAAACTACATGAAACCTTTCCAATCTTTTACTTAACCAAATACGCACAAAAATATAATACAATACAGTATATTCTGTATTACAGGTGGAATCTCTCTACACTCTACAGCAATCCTCTCTTTATAACAATAACTATTTTCTCTTTATAACAAATTTTTTGTTGGTCCCATGGAGATATCTCTCCATGTCATAGGGGGTTCTTCATGACAACTCTTTCTGGTCCCTTGAATTTAGTTGTGGTGAGAGTCCACCTGGATTACATAACATACACTGAAATACGTGATACAATGAAAACAGTTCATTTGAGCCTCAAATAATTTCCTGCGGCTTTCTCTCCTATGAAACAGACACAATGGCTATAAAAATGCTTCAAACAAGCTTTTTTACCAATACCAATGGACTCTCTTTACAAAAATCTTGTCTGCAATAATTTTCCATGTGCTGTACAGTATAAAGAATGTTATTTTGTGGCCCCACAGGCTTCTCTCCTTATGTTATAGGGGTTCTCCACAATAAAATTCTATCCACAACACATTTTTTTTCCGGTCCCTTGCATTTTGTTGTAAAAAAGTCCACCAGTTGTAGAAGCCCTGATCCTCTGATACAATACCCCTGATTTAGTACAACCCTTGCTTATGGCCACCAAATGTGCCAGACAAATGATGTCACAAAATCAAGGTTTGCCTGTAAAAAAAAAAAGTGAAATCATACTCGAGTCTGAAATCATACTTGAGTCATTTTGTCGCGGCGCCCTTCCCAACTGAGCCGCTCATCATACGGCGGCTCCGCGTTCGTGCCCACATAAATCGGCTCCCAGGTCTTGAAAGGGCCAGTGCGACTGGCAAAGCCAAGGACGGACATTCCGGCCGACGACGCATTCGACGCCGGCGTCGTGAGCCACTTGTCTCGATACGGGAACCTGTGGCAGTCCGGACACAGGCTAGCGTGGAAAGGCACAGCCACTTTCTTCTCCAGCATGGCCAGCAACTGGCCCTTGTCCTCGGGCACTTCCATGTCTGCTTGCACTTCGAAAATCGGCATGGGGAATGCAACCTTACACGGGAAGATTTCGAAAACCAAAGCACAATTTCAGTTTTGAGTCGTCCACTAAAAAAAAAAAAAAAAGGGGCTCTTCTACAACTGCGAGCCTCTTAGTAGCAAGGTCAAACCCCCAACTTCCCTCCTCCACAAATCATTCAAACTCAGGGGAACCCACAAATAGAAACGACTCAGGGAACCCAAGTGATGCAAATAGGGCGAAAAAAAAACTTTGAAAAATAAATTTGTCTAATCCCTTTGTACGGCTTGTGCCTCAATCACAAGCTGGACGTAAAGTGCCAAATTTTAAAATTAACTACAATTCTACACACAACACAAACTCACCAAAAATATTATCACATCTCGAAAAATTCTAGCGACACCCATAAGAAAAAAAAAAGAAAAACCAAGAGCTTGATATATTGATCATAAAATTGAAAAGCACCTGAACAGCTCAAACATTGGTCAGCCTTCTTTTTGCACAAAGCTCTTATCTAAAAGAGCCAAATTTACAAACCCTCATGGATCCAAACAATTTAGAATTCTGTGAAATTTGAGAATTGCTCAACAATATAGGAACAAAATGCATGCTCCTCATAATTCATTTAAATCCCCCTTAAAAACACATAAACACACACACACAGACGTTAAAAAATCCCAAAACTGAGAAAGCCTGAAATGAAGATACAACAAATTCAATTCAAGAGAAAAGAAAAATGTGACCTACTAATCTCTTATCAAGAGTTATTTAGCGCACAAAATAAAATACTGCATACGCTGAATTTTGTCAAATGAAGCACGAACCACCATCAATTAATCGTCACTAAATGAAACACACTGATCCGAAAAAATTAGCGAAACTGAAAGAAACAAAACCATAAACTGCACAACTTTCACACAACAGAAGCTAGCATGAAACGCAAAAGCACAACGCCAAAGGAATATTTCCCCAAACTACGATGCGACTGCAAGACCACCAAACAAAAATCAAGCGATTTTTCTCGTCAATTCAGCATTTTCTTCGCTCATGTAAATCAGTTGATTTTTAAATTGTGACATTTGTTGAAATGTCGCGTGGTAGGAATTCTTCAGTAGCCAATACAAATACCTGGTACAGTATTACGAAAAAAGCGTCCCAACCCAAAGCTTTGCAAAAAGATACAGAAATTCATGAAACCCAAAGCATCGCACATCAACCAACCAACAGATACAGTAAGTATTTACGAATGCATTTTGTCGCAGCCCGTCTTTCCAATCACTTTTTCTCGTGCTTGCATGTATGTATGCGGTGTATTCATGTTTGCTATTGTACCGTACCTGAAACTCTCTGCATCGAAAAAAAAAAAAAAACACGAAACAAAACATGGAATGTTAAACACAAGGAAAAAAAGGCGATTCCCAGGAAAAAAAGAAGAGCAAGAATTCTTTGGGGGGATTGCTTGCTCACTTTTTCTCCGAATCCGTCGGGATTATTCCGGATCATGGCAGCGAAATCCTTGGCAAAGTTGGCAGAAGGATACAGCTCCACATCACTGGCCAGCACGTACTGCGTCACAGCAGCCTGTCGGGCCACATTTCGTATCACATTGATTGGGTACAACAGCGGCGGTGGCACTTTGGATTCCATTTCCTTGACGGCGGCCTCGCTCCGGTTCTCTCCCACCTTCCCGAGCATTTGCAAACGCTTCGACACGTCCGTGTTTTTCAACCCGGTTCTGTACGTCGTGGCGTCCTTCCACGGCGGCCTAGGAGGAAATCATCAAAAAAATAATCTTGCAATTTACAGACTCCTTCCCTCTCAAAAAGTCGGTCAACAAATGAATATACAAATTGTTCAAATATAAAATACAGCATAAAGAAGCAAAGTGAAAATCCATGCATAAGGAAAAAAAATTCATGAATTAAGCAATGTGTTGTTCTGCTTCAAAAACTTCCGCAAAAATCCTGAAAATAATTTCCTTTTTAAACTATTGTAAAATCAAATGCACGGCAATACAAGAATAATTTTCAAAACATGAACGTGCAATTGAATCCTCTGAATTTTAAAATGCATCGCCCAAAAATGGAGTTAACTACGATAAAAAAAAACTCACAAGTTACAGTCAACTGTTGCAGTCGCTTCTTTCATTTGCTCAAGGATTGTTTTTTGGTCAGGAACTCGAATCCGAGGGAAATGTTTTTCTTCAAACACCAAATGAAACGTGGCCCATTTGGCAACTTCTGGATGACACACACGCGCATGCAAAATGGAATCCATGGTCACCTGCAAAGAACACATTTTTATGACTTCATTTCCACAAAATTTATTTTCAAGTACACTACTGTACACTATTAGTTGACGAAGTCTACAAGTTTCTGCGACTTCATAGTTCTTTTCACTTGAAACGCCCAACATTTCTGATGAGAAATAAATCTGCTGAAATGAAAGATTTGAATAATTTTTCTCTAGATCTCTGTTTCCAGAAACAACCAGTTCGCATAATACTTTATAATCCATTGAAATTGTAGAAGTTGATGCTTCCAGCTTATTTTGAAAAAAGCTTATTTGAAAAATTATTTTGAACAATGAAAGTTAATCATTCATGACTGAAAATTTTTCAACTTCCTCATTTTTATGCCATTCTTCCTTTTGGAATTGGCTACAAGAACAATAACTCCTCTAAAAACAACAGATTTTTTCAAACCCTTGATCATCTGACACATTGTTCCCCAGTCTTTTTGGGCATGTGGACTGGCAAATTTCGGTGAAATTTTTGCAGACCATCAAGTTTCCATTTTTGCAGGCCAACAGAAATACTTTGAATACCTGCCATAAAGTCCTCCAACCAAAACTTGCATTGCAAAAATTGACTTGAGAACAATGGAAGCAGCTTCAGTGAAATGTACTGTATTAAAAAAATGAGAATACATTGAGCTTGGAGAAAGGTTTATCGGAATGGAGACTGAAAATACCTTTATATCAGCTGGTGAAAATTTGTCTGAAGTGCTATTAGGGAAAATGAAAACTTTTAACTGCTAACTTTTAACTTTAAAACTGCTATTGTCTTTCCAAAATTTCAGATGATGATGATATACTTAATCTTATTTTCCTGAAAATAATCTTATCTGATAAAGAAAAAATAATTTTGCTAGAGAAAATTTCCTGCTGACTGCCAAAAAACTTCCACAGACCACAGGTTGCAGAACACCAATCTAACCCATGCTAACATCAGCAGAAAGTTTGGAATGACATTCTTGTGAAAAGAACCATTTCTCTTTAATTATTCACACTAAAAAGGACTGCAACGCAAAATACAGCAATCGCGCACCTGGAAGTCAGTGCCTGGTACATACAACGCCATGGAAACAGGTGCTGCCCAACGCTTACACAAAAAAGGAACATTCTCCATAAATGGGAATTCTCCATGAGTTGTGTATGTGATCAAGTGCTCATCAAACCTGCGGACAACAAAATCCAGTGAATAATTCGAAATAAAAACTGAAAATACATAAGTGGACACTCCATCTCTCCATACAAATACATTACAGTATATCCTCCGCATAACAACTTAATTCTTTAAATTTGCTCCGATTTCCCAATTAATGAAATTCCTCAGCAACGAATTTTTGATTTTGGACATGAATTAAAAAAATTTTCATCATAAAATTAAGCTAATTCTTAATCAAGAACAGGCCAACTTTGGGCTTTTCCATCATATGCACACAGTATTGCAGGGATTCTTCTTGTTCTTTGCTACTTGAGCTCCTCCTGATGCCAGAAGATCAAATTCTGTGCAATTTTCTTCTGCATCTTGAGAAAATTTTCTTTATTAATTTATTTGGGACTTGACTGGGGAACCAATTAAATATGTTCCTAATGAAGTCAATGGGAAAAAGGTGATCTGACATACAGACACTCGAACACATGGACAAGGCCCAAGCACCAATTACGTCCGCATCTCGAAGCCCCACAGCATTCTGAATCGTACCCCCACAACTTGAGTAAAAGTTCCCGACAAAACTTGTCAAACCATCCCTCGCACATAAAAATGTGATGAAATTTTGACAAAAGAACAGCCTAAAAATAATAACACGAACCTCGCGAATGCATCAGCAGGAATGTAGTTGTACAAGATTGAGAATCTGCCATGTTGTCTGTGACGGGGATCCGTGGACACGGGACGAACAGCGGATGCCCGGAAAATGGGCTCCGCAACCAGATTGTGTTCTACATTCCACCTATTCACCACCGACAGATAGAACCCCGTTGAGATCACCACCGTTACGACCAGCAGGATCAAACAACGGTGTTTTCCTGGCTCGCGCGTCATGACAACCCTCCCAACTCCAGCCAACATTCATCTGGAAAAGATGGGATTTCACAAAATGAAATTCAAGATATTTCTTGGTCAATTTTCAATATTAACATGAACTTCCTTCAGATTATTTTGCACCAGAAATTTGAATAATTAATGAGAAAGCTTAGCAATAAGCCCAAGAATAGTCAACAGACAAAATCTCTCCTAATACAAGTGGACTCTCAACAACGTTCTCCTCTGTACACTACAATTACATTACAACAAACTTTTGGGGACTTCAGAACACGTTTGATGCACTGAATAATTTGTAAGAAGATTTTTTAAATTGATCACTAGAAAGAAACGTTCACATCAGACCAGCCTGGAATCAATTTGATGTCACTTTGCTAGCGAAATCAATGCGACAATACCTGTCAGTCACATTTTAAATCAGAAATTTCAGACTGTGCCAGTTTCAGTCAGGAAGAATCTACTGAGCTTTGCTTGAAAAAGTTCGTGATCCTGGAAAGCTTTCTATAATGAGATTGTTGCAAAATGTGCTTCATGGACTTTAGAAAACATTTGTTTTGCTGAAATTTTTTAACGGTATTTTGTTGCAATAAAATTTTAACTGCTTCACGATTTTTTCGCAACACTTGAATTTCATTGTGAAGAGAGAGTCCACTGTAAACTGTAGCTTGCGAAACCCAAAATTATGATGCAAAATCCGAAATAAAAAAAAGAAATAGATCTCCCCATAATCCGTTTCTTGAATGAAGACACGCAAAGCTTTTCCCCGCATCCGCCGTCATTCAATAAATTAAACGGAGCCGAAAAAAATAAATCTCAATCAAACGGCAACCATGCATATCAAGAAAAGCGGTCCAACTCAAACATCGGAACACAGAGAAATACTGTACACCAACACCTTGAAGAGAAGAATCGGAAGCAACAAAATCCATCAAGAAAGACTTTTCAAGAATTCCACACACACAATATTATGCCGAGTTGAACCGGATTCTCTGCAACTCAAAATCCCGATTTCTGTGTCATGCAATGCGACATTCAATCAATGTAATCATCCTTTTTCTGATCTTTTTTTTCTTCTTCTTTTTTTTGCCAGCACCTAACTTTACAATATAATTATCTTTTTTTCCGCTCGTATCATCTCACATCAACTTTTTTTTGGAACATGGAAGGCTGCTTCCATTTCACCCCCCATATCCCTCCTAACTTTCAGTCAAGGATTTTCTTTCGTTTCAGGTTCATGATCGGAATGCGCAGATCATTTTCCCCACCAAAATCGAAGGTAACCATTCCTATAGCACTAATGGCTTTAGGTTAAAAATTTAAACTCTCCCAGGCAGCTTCTTCTTCTGGATCCTTGCGCACTTGACTGGGTTCTTTCTGTGGCTTCTTTTTCCGTTCTTCAGCCTTGGAAGTGTTGTTTCCACGCTGCTTGACAGCTGTCGAAAGCGGCGCCATGCTCGCAACTGACGAGTCCCCTGCCTGATAATCCTGCATTTCAAAAAATTGATCAATTTTCTTTTTGAAGAAAAAAAGGTAATTGGCAGGGAAATGATTCACTTACTTGGTAGCCTTGGTAACCGGTTTCCGTGTAAGAAGAATACGCATTGCTGCCGCCGAAAGATGACTTCTCAGTGTTGTGATAGGAATGCTCGGAGTTTTGATACGACTCGAAATTTCCACCCGGGATTTCTTCTGCTACACTGCTGGAAGAGAATGGTGCCGATTCTCTAGTTGGTGACGAGTATCCACTGGCTACTCCAGAAACCTCTGTCCAGCCACGCTTTCCCAAATCTGACACCTGATATAAAAAATATGACGCACATTACGAAATTATTTCGTTTCAAGGTATTTTTTGGACAAAAAAGCGCGAAAATGAGTTTTGAAGTGAAACTGGCAATTCAGAACTCAAGAAAGAAAGATAACACAAAAACAACGTTTTACGGCTTCTAGAGTCTGTAATTTGACAATTCCAAAACTTATGAGCAAGATTCATCAGGATTATTTCATTGTCATTCGGAACAAAACTGAATTCACGATTTTCTGCTGAAAAATACACATGAACAATTACGATGCAATCTTGAGGGTAAACGTATTCAACAAAACGATTAAACTGATACAGGGACGGATTAGTTTCACTATTGCGGCGACCCATTTCATAATTTTTTCAGACCGAATTGGCATCTTTCACCAACCGGTCCAAAATCCATTCATTAATTTTTATTCACGAGTTTCCTCAATTCTTTCCAAATCAACTTCTGCCGAAATAGTTTCGTTGAATTTCTTACTGCTTGGAATACATTTAATCTTTCGTTTACATGAAGCATAAATCACAGAAAATGCGATGCACAAATAAAATTAAAAAACACTTCGACAGATGCAACACTGAACAGTTTCCACATTTTTGAAACACTGGGGTGCCGAAACGCAAGAGAAAGTCAGACTGGCGAAACAAAATGCCTGGGTGAGGTCTTCTCACTGAAGCCCACGTTGCTTTTTTAATGATCGTTTTTATTCGCCGTTTTCTTCTCAGCTCGAGAAGCCATAAAGATAATTTTTATGTTTCTGTAAGGTACTCCGGAATCATGGCCGAAAACATGAAAATATTTCTTCTAGTACTGCCAGAACTGATTTACGACTTACATTACCGCTCACACGGGACATTTAAACCACATAATTTTAAGGGATACGGAGAGTAAAAAATAAAATAAAAATCTGAGACTTTTGAAGAAGCGTTTCTCGCGTAATCGACAAATTCAAGAAGAAAAAAAGAAAACCAGCAAATGACACTATATTGCCAAGTTAATTTCTCGACAACACGATTTCACATGGATACACACCGAAAAATACGTCTCAAAAAGAGTCATTTCATTCAATTCCACATGAAAAAAAAAAAGAAAACCACACTCACTCAGACATCTGATAAGACTAACCTTCGAAGTCAAAGAGCCAATGGACTGCTTGGCGTCGTCCAGGTTGATTTTCTAAACACACACGCACAGAAAAAAATGAAATAAATAAATACACCAGACAATGAAGTCGAAAGTCTTCAACCCTAGCCCACAGTTCAAGTATCTCTCTCTCTCTCCTCACCTTGACCTGGGCAGTGACCTCAGTCAGCTTCTGGCCAGCACTCATCCCCCACTTGTACGCATTCTCTCCGGCAACCGAAGCCAAAGAAGTCGCCTTGGCAGACAATTCCGACCAACCGGATGCAAATGAAGACCATCCCGACCCACTTCCGGCGCCACCTGACCGCATCTCGAAAAAGTTGGTGGACACGCTTCTCGGGGGTCCCTTTTCGAACCCAAAACCCTGGTACTTCCCGCCGGAACCGCCTTGGTACGATGTGTACTCTTCCGATTCGTACGTGGTCGAATTGTATCCCCCGCCGCCGCCGCTGATGGTAGAGGAGTTGGAGTACTGATGGGATCCTGGTTCGGACTTGAGAGAGGAAGCTGACGGGGTTCGCCGGAAACCTTGTTCCGAAGCTGCGATCCTGCGATGAATAAATAAATTGAATAAATAAAAGACTTCCAGACTCGATTATTGGATGAAAAATCTCAAATTTCCATTAAAAAATGTACACAGAATTAAAATGAAAGTCCAGCTTAGAATTCGAAAAAAAAAATCAAGAAGGTCATACCTGCCCCAGTTTTCAGTTGATTTTTAAAAATTGTACAATGCAAGCGTTTTGCATTTTTAATTTTACCTTGATTTATATCTAAAAATATAGGCTTAAATTTTTTTTTAATTATTGCATTAATAAACCAGATTTTTTCAAATTGATGCTCTTGCAACAATACAAACTGGTAAAAATTCAAGATTATAGGCAAGTTTCAGGAAAGAACCATTTTCAACATCTAAACAAAAAGTACGGTACATGAATAGAAGAAATTATCAGCGATTGTCAGATACCGAAAGCCCGTGATGAACCATCCATTTTGTCCATTTTCAGTCGAAATTGTGAATTCAATATTGATCAGCATGAAATTGAAAGTTATTCCGAAAACTCATGCTTATAAGTTTTTCAAATTTCGAAGTCAAGAAGATCACCGGAATTTTCTCATTTCCCAAATTTAAAAAATCTAGAAGTTTAATTTCAAATGTGAAAAAATTCCAGCCATTTTTGGCGGGAACACTTCTTAAAGTGAAACAATTTTGTGGTGGGTAACCCTCTCCCTCCCCAAAGAAATTTCGTTTTAAGGGGACCCACGGTAATTTTTTTCAAAGTGGGAACACGATCAATTTTGCGCGCTGAATCTGTAATTGAAAAAAGCCGAAACAAAAAGAATGAGGTAAACTTTCAAAAATATAAATATATTCCTTTCCTATATCATGCATTTGGATCTAAGTTGACCTAAAATACTGTATAATTTCAATTATTACGGAAAAACTGAGTTTTTTCTCAATCTACGCAAAATGATGACAACAACAAAAAAACGCATGAATTCCAGTGCTAATCCCATCTGAACAGTGATTTTCACACTCGTATTTCCTTTAGCAATTTTTCAAAAAATCTAATAATATTTTTTTTCTTCTCGCATGAACGATACGCGAGGATTTTTTTGCGATTCAATTCGCAGTGATGCATACATTACACTGCAAAGACAGAATACAAAATAATTGCACTAGTGCTCAGGGTCGACCAGGTTTGCTGCACAGGGGTCAAGTGTAACGATACGCGAGGATTTTTTTGCGATTCAATTCGCAGTGATGCATACATTACACTGCAAAGACAGAATACAAAATAATTGCACTAGTGCTCAGGGTCGACCAGGTTTGCTGCACAGGGGTCAAGTGCGCAATAATTCCCTCAGTCCCCGCAGTGTCCACCCAGGTGGCCTCCCTAGATTACCTAGACAAATTTTACACCCACTTTGTTTTTCATTATTCCCTGCCTATTTTTGTTTTCCTCTTCACCCCCCTCCCTTCGGGGATCAGCTGGTCCCCCTTTTAATCCAGCCACAGCCAGCCAGCCATCGTCGTGACGATGGCTGACGACGGAAACGAGGCGCCCGAGGGCGAGATTGACGAGTCTCTGTATTCTCGTCAAATCTTCGTCCTGGGCAAAGAAGCCATGATGCGAATGGCAGTGGCCAATGTCTGCATTTCCGGCATGGGCGGACTCGGCGTCGAGATTGCCAAAAACGTGTGTTTGGCTGGCGTGAAAACCGTCACGTTGCACGACGAGAAACCCGTGACCTGGTACGACCTCAACTCGCAGTTTTACGTCAAGGAGAACCAAGTGGGCAAGAATCGGGCCGAGAGTTGCTTGGGTCTCGTGTCCGAGCTCAACACGTACGTGCCAACAACTGCCAATACTTCGCCAATCGACGAGGCGTTCATCAAGAAATTCCGCGTCATGTGTCTCTCTGACAACTCGTTCGACGAACAAGTGCGAGTGGGGAAAGTTTGTAGGGAAAACAAGGTCATTTTTATCGCGGCGGAAACCAAGGGAGCCTTCGGCAAGGTCTTTTTTGACGGTGGAGAAGATTTTGAATGCGTTGACCAGAATGGAGAAGCTCCTCTGATTGCTCCAGTCATTAGTATTTCCAAAGCTGCCGAGGGCATGGTTACGTGTCCAGATGATAATCGACACGGTTTCGAGACCGGAGATCACGTGGCTTTCACTGAAATCAAGGGTATGACTGAAATCAATGACCGTGACCCAATGCCCATCAAGGTCACTGGCCCATTCACATTCACGATTGGTGACACCACAGGGTTTAGTGATTATGACGGACCTGGGGGAACTGTTTCGCAGGTACGGCATCTTGAAACATGATTGTTTCCGTATCATTTTATTGTTGAGAGATTTTCAGGATTAATAACTGAAAATGTTTCACTACCTATAATATATGTAAAATTTTTTTGACATTCTCAGATTCTTATTACTGCTTGCAAAACGGGTATGTAGAAAAATAATTTGATAATTTAATGATATTGATAAATATATAATACATATACTTTGAAATAATCTCGTTATAAAGAGATGCTGTTTCATTTTTTATTATTAAATTAATGAAAAATAAAAAAATATATATTTATATTAATATAATCATTAAATTATAAAATCATTTTTCAACAGATCTGTTTTGCAAACAGTAATAAAAATCTGATAGTCAAAATTTTAATAATTTTTATTGATTATTAATTTTAAAAATCTCTCAACAATAAAATGATTCGGAATAACGAGCGCTTTATGGATTTCCCAGAAGAACTCCATAAACGAGATTTTACTGAAAATGCGAATTTATCCACACAATAAAAAAGGTGAAAGTGCCAGTGAAACTGAGTTACTTGAGCTACGATGACGCTCTTGTCAACCCCGAGCACATGATCTCCGACTTTGCCAAAATGGACCGCATGAACCAACTGCATTTGGCGTTTCAATCCATTCACAAGTACGAGGCTGACAAGGGCCAGTTGCCAAGACCTTACAATCGTGCTGATGCCGAGGAATTCCTCGGCATGGTCAATGCATTGAATGATGAACAAACTGGCGGAGCCAAGACGGAAATTGATGCTCAGTTGATCAAGACGTTTTCCTACACGTCCAGGGGTTGCCTGGCTCCCATCTGCTCGCTTCTTGGCAGCTTCGTTGGTCAAGAGGTCATGAAGGCGTGTTCTGGAAAGTTCAGTCCTTTGAAACAGTTCTTGTACTTTGATGCCACTGAGTGTTTGCCTGATGATGTCGAGAAGATCTCTGAAGACTCTGCTGCTCCAGTAAGTTCATCAATGCCTCAAAATTAAAAAACTTGAAAAATCAAAATAATTTACGGCAATGAGAGAATCATTAGTAGTAATTCTCAATCTAATTAGAGCCTTAATTTTTAAGATTTTTAACAGCAATCATTAAAATTCCCCCTCATAAATTGTAATAAACACGCACTGAACTGTTTCGGAAAAATGTACACCTACGGTCAGTATGCGCATCTCAATTGTTAAAAAGGAACATACAATTTAGAGCTTAAATTTTGTTCGCTCATTTTTCAAAACTGAATTTCGGGAGTACTACATTTACGAGTACTGTACTCGCTCATTTTTTCACTTAAAATAAAAATCTTCAATTTTAAGCGAAAAATCCGAAAAAAATTAACATTTGCCTTAGTTTTCTGTGGATTTTTCAACATCAATAGTTTCACAATTGAATACACGAATTCCAAAAAGTAAAATAAATATACATCCAGTCCTAGTTTCTGCGCAAAAATTTTATACTTTACTATACTTATACTAAATTCTACACTTAATGTTGCGTAATTAAACAAAATTGACAAAGAGTTAATTGCAACTATTTTTCACAGCAAAACAGCCGATACGACTCCACCCTGGCCGTGTTCGGCACAGACTTCCAAAACCGAATTGGCAACGTGCGCTTGTTCGTCGTCGGTTCCGGGGCCATTGGTTGCGAGCTGCTGAAAAACTACGCCATGTTGGGCATCGGATCCGGGCCCGGGGGCATGATCCTCGTCACCGACATGGACGCCATTGAAAAGTCCAACCTCAACAGGCAGTTCTTGTTCCGTCCCTGGGACGTCGGCAAGCAAAAGTCCTCCACCTCGGCCCTCGTCGTCAAGACCATGAACCCGCAGATTCGCATCATGTCTCACCAGAACCGAGTCGGCAAGGACACTGAGGGCATCTACAACGAGTACTTCTTCAGCCGACTCACGTGCGTCACCAATGCCCTGGACAACGTGGATGCGAGAAAGTACATGGACTTGCGATGCGTTTACTTTCGCAAGCCGCTGCTCGAGTCGGGAACCTTGGGTACCAAGGGCAACGTGCAGGTCATCCTGCCCAATTTGACCGAGTCCTACGGCTCGTCTCAGGACCCGCCGGAAAAGTCCATTCCCATGTGCACCCTCAAAAACTTCCCCAATGCCATTGAGCACACTTTACAATGGGCCAGGGATCTTTTCGAGGGCACCTTCACGACCGGGCCTCAAGACGCGGATTCTTACATCAATGACCCCGAATTCATGGAACGGACTCTCAAATTGCCCGGCAGTCAGCCCATGGACATTTTGGAGAAGGTCAAGTCTCACTTGGTGGATGACAAGCCAAGCAACTTTGAGGACTGCATCGCTTGGGCCAGGCTGTTCTGGGAAGAGCTCTTCGTGAATGTCATCAAGCAACTCTTGCACACTTACCCTGCAGACACGACTACGGAAAGTGGGCAGCCGTTTTGGAGCGGTCCGAAACGACTGCCACACGCCTTGTCGTTCGATTACGACGAGGAAAAGTGTCAAGAATTCATCGTGGCTGGTGCCAATCTCCGCGCTTTGAACTACGGATTCGGCGAAAACCGCGATCGGGACTACATTGGCAAAATTGCCAAGGGCGTTTCAGTGCCCGTTTTCGTGCCGAAAGATGAGAAGAAAGAGAAGGAAAAGAAAGAAGGGGAAGAGGAAGAAGAGGAGGAAGAGGAAGAAGAGGAGGAGGAGGAAGAAGATGGGGCAGGAGATGAAGCAGCCATTGCGGAGCTTAGATCACAAATCCCAGCACCTTCTGCGCTGAAAAGCTTCAAGATCATCCCCGCAGACTTTGAAAAAGATGACGATTCCAATTTCCACATGGATTTTATTGTAGCTGCGTCCAATTCTCGAGCTGAAAACTACGATATTCCTCCAGCGGACCGACTCAAGGCAAGAATTAATTAGCCAACCTTTTTTTCATTTTCAAAATAAATAAAAATTGCTTTTCAGAGTAAGGGTATCGCTGGGAAAATCATTCCTGCAATTGCAACCACCACTTCTCTAGTCTGTGGACTTGTGTGCATTGAATTGTACAAGTTGGTTCAGGGTCACAAGAACTTGGAGAGATTCAAGAACGGTTTCATCAACTTGGCACTGCCATTTTTTGGGTTTTCTGAGCCAATTCCAGCAGAAGTCCACACAGTAAGTACTTGAAAACGTAATTAATATTAATACATTATTATTTATTATTTTTAAAATAATAATTATAACAATAAAATAAAAATAAGATTGCAGAATTCCCACAATAAAACAATTTTTCAGATTTAGAAAAACATCATGCTGAGCATTTTTTTGTTGCTAATTCCTGTCTTCTTTCTTCATTTCTAGTACCACGACAAGAAGTGGACACTGTGGGACAAGTTCGAGGTCAGGGAAGAGAAGGCACCTACAATGACTGCATTCATCTCATTGTTCAAGCGACAACATAAACTCGATGTAACAATGGTTTCCTACGGCGAGACCATGTTATTCGCAGATTTCATGCCCGAGGACAAGATCCGAGAACGTTTAAATATGTCAATGAGAGACCTGGTTGTGCAAGTGGCTGAAGATGATATTCCGCATTGGAAGAGAGCTTTGGATTTTGAAGCTGCAGCTGAGGATAAGGATGAAGAAGATGCCGACATTCCACCCATTCGCTACGTTTTGAGTCAAGCATAAGTCGAACAGTTTTGATTGGCAATGTTGTGATTTGTCCCGAAAATATTAATCCTGTTAATCCTGTTATTTTCTCGAATGCCCTCATCTTAAAATCATGAAATAATAAAACTCCAATGATCAGTGATGAACCTGGATTCGTGGTTTTTGATATTTTTTATTAAAATGTAAAATAAGGTAGAATTTTATAAAACTTCATGAAATGGTAGAGAATCAATTTTAACCACTGTTTGGGGTGAACACATCATGAGCAAGTACAGTATCAATTTTTCAAAAATATTCCGAAGACCTTTGGGCTTAACAGAATAAGACTAGAAATTAATTGAATACATTGAACTCGGGTTCAATCCATTTCTAAGATTCGAGGGTAAGAAATTAAGGTTTTCTTATCCTCTGAATATCGAGTGTTACTGTAACTAAAAATGGGATACGTGTTTTACTTGAAGATGAAAACTTTTTTGTATTCGCGAATGCGCGTCTTCAAGGTACATGTGGACTTCCTCTAAAACAATCTTGTCCACTACAATTTCTTCTGTTAAACCATTTTTTTTTGTCCAATGAGGTCCTCCACAACAAAATTCACTCTACAAAGAATTTATTTCTGGCCCATTACATTTGTTGAGAGAATCCACTCAAATAGGCACCGTACAAGAGAAATTAAAAAAAATCGAAGGGAGTAGGGTCTGACCTGGTTTTTGCGTCGTTCTCGTTCCAAATCTTGCCCTCAGCCTCCACACTGACCTTGTCCCTGAACAACCCCGCCGCCTCAGTGGCGTACCTGTCGGCCCAACGACCGCCAGCCTTGGCGTCCAACCAATCCGCCCTCGACTCGAGGAACGCCTTGGCCGTCGCGTTGCCGCCCACTCGCATCTTGGCCACCTCCGTCTCTTTCCACTTGTCCATGGTGATGGAGCGGACAAAGGAGACGTGGACGCCTAGGCCACGGTGTTTGCCCGAGCACTCGAGACAAATCCAGATGCCAAACGACACGGACGCCCATTGCGGGTTGAAGGCGCCGCAATCGAAGCATCGGTTGTTGTCGTCTCGGTTCCGCAGTTCGGCCAACACCTTCCGGGTTCGCGGGCTCGCCATTTTCTTTGTTGTTGTTGTAGGTAGAGGTCTTCACACGTTTCGGATTTAGTCGATTACTGTATTATCGGTTGGATTGCAGCCGCCGCGCGAAACCCACGCCTACTCCCGCTTCTCCCACGCCCCTTCTACACCGGGGCAAAATTAAAATTTCCCTAGGATTTCAGACGAAAGAAAGTCAATTAAGACGCACATGATGAAGAATCAAGAAATTGAAGCTTCAATGGATGGGAACTGCTTAGGCTTTCATCATCTACTGTCACTCCAACGCTTCACTGGGAATTACGTTTCATGAAAAATATTGCATGATCATCTCTTTTTTTTTTCCTAATGAGCACCGAAAATGGCCAATTTTCAAGTACTGTTTTACTCAATTAACAGGGAAATGCAGGCCTGATCAGCTAATTGAAACCTCGCTTTAATATGTTGAGAGGCTGAATTATTCAAATCATATAAAATGTATACACTTATAGTGATGCTAAAGAAGTAATCGCAGTCACGCTCGAAATAAGCGGAAAATTTGCTCAACGGGACTCATCACGCAAAATTACAAAGGATTATTTTTTTGGGTAAGGTTCCCATGTCAAAAAGGGTCGTCAATCATGTTTCAAGAATAAATTATTTTCTTAGGGATGCCTCACAAATACTGTCGGATCTGACAGATGAAATAAAATCAAAATTAACGAATACACGGCTTAAACCCATTCGCAACATTCAGTGAACTTGATCATACAGTAATTTCATAATCGCACAAGCAGTCGAACCATCTCGCAAAATAAAGTCACCGACGACGTCGTCGAAAAAACCAAATTGTTTTTGTAAAAAGCATGGCCTTCGGCATCATCTTCGTGGAAACGAAGGAACGGAATCCCTCCAAGCACAAACACATGACACAAATATTTTCATAACTTCTCTAGCCATTCACGAAAGCATTTCACCTCCTCCACAATCCCTCCCTTCTTTTTTAACAACTGGCTTTAAAAGAAAACATAACCGACCTAAGCATCTTTCAACGGTTCTTCCTCCACATCGCCTTAAATTCAAAATAATTAAAACTTAAAAAAAGCGCTTCAACTTCTCGCCTTGGAAGTTCGTACTCTCAAATACACGACATTTCAAGAGCATGTACTTTCTCCGAAGAAATGAGGTTTCAATGACGGAAAAATGCCCTTCATAACTCGGAAACAAATACCTCGTTACTCCAGCTGCGACTTTACGTTATTCATGAACGGGGGAAAATGAAATTAAATAAAACCCAAAGCGGAACCTAACTTATCACAGATGATCCACGATTTGAGTTTCTGGGTATTTCATACCTCGCACGGTTCATCCGACAAAAACTTCCGGGGGCATCCCAATTGGGAGAGACACAAATCCACGCCGATCAAAAATCCGGTAGAAAAGTGCAAAAAACTAAAAACAGAAAAAAAAACGGACAAGACAATAAAACTTGGGTGATGCAAACAAATGACGCGCTTCAAGACAAGGACAATGTTTGTAAACCAGCGATGTTGTCGAAGTTGACCCCGGCCCGGGCAGTGGACAAGGCAAAAACAGGCAATGCTCTTCTCCCATTCTTATCCACTATCACCATGGACGCTCCGATCCGGTTAAGGTGATTCACGTGGTTGATATTGTGCAGATTGAAGGCCACCACTTGGAAAGGTTCTTGCGCACCTGTAGGGAAAGCAAAAAAGAAAATTTCATCAGCTTGCTGAAATTTGCAAAAATTCCCGAACTTAGGCGGCATTCGAAGAAAACTAAATCGTGAGCTTATCAGTTTGGAGGAGACGAAGAATTCGCTCCGAATTTTTTGACAACCTTTCCATCGTAAAAACATTTTCAAAAAAACGGAGACGCATGACCTTAGTTCGAATGAGCAAGTCTACATAAACCTTACAGCAATGAACGAAAATTGGCTTTCACCTGTTCCACGAGTAGAAAACAATTAAAAAATATATAATATCCCAAATAATAATACGGGACTCACCCGCATGGAGATTGACGAGATGGTCTTGAAGCTCCTGCTTGCTTCCGAACACCTCTTCACACAACTGACACGTCACAGGACCGTCTTCAAATTGCCTCTTCACCCCGCGTATCGTCACAGGCTCCGACCGTCGGTTGCTCGTCACAGAGATACCCCGCGACTCCAACGTGCTCGACAGCGACAACGACGGCGCACCCCCTCCGCCGCCACGAGACGGCATTCCCATGCCGCCCACACGCATTCTCGTCCGCATCCCGCGAAAGCCTGCTGGCCGCCGCGAGAGTATCGAAAGCGGCTGTGACGGGGCAAAACTCGGGTTCAGCATGTCTTGCGACGCCGACGGCGGCTGTTGTTGCTGCTGTTGTTGCGGGGACGAGGGAATGGGAAGGTGTCCTGAAGGAGGAACAGCGTCGCCGATGATCTGCACTTCGTCATCATCTTCTGCACTCGTCGGGATTATTGCTCGACGACGGATCATACCCCTGCCACCTAGGATGAAAAGGAATCAATTATCTATTAAAGAAGTCACAGTGAAATAAAAATATCAATACAGTACAGTAAAATCTCGCCATTGAAGAAATAACATTAAAAAAATGGTTGCCCAAGTATAAGCAGAAATCCCGCAGAGAACATGTTGAAATAATCGCATCACAACAAACTTCCGAATTCCAGTAAACAACACTTCTTTGAAAAATGTTCAAAATATTATCCGGGTACAAATTTCCTGACGAAGGCAGGCACAGTCTGAAATTTCCAATCCCAAATGTGACTGACTGGCTCTTGTAGCATGGGTGGAAGCTGTACTCTATCCCAATCATCCTCCCAAGAATGAAAAAATAAAATGGCGAAACTGCTGGAATGCACGATTGAAGCTTTTCTTTTAACGATCACTGAGTATTTCAAGCAATAATAAAAAATCTGAGAACGCTAGAAAAGCAAGACTTAATTGATTACAGGGAGGTCTGATGTAAAAAAAAGTTTCCGTCGTACATTTTGAAAATCTCGTCATAAAAATTAATCAAGTACGACAGACGTCGTTTGAATTCCCCAAAAGTTTTTTGCAATGCGATTATACTGTAATGCATCGATCACTGGATTCGGATTCCTTTTTCAAACAAAACGTTTCAACATAATTTTCACTCGTCCTGACACGTTAACTTATGGCTCGAGAGAACAAAATAATATCATCACACTAATCACCAAGTATTCGCGGTCCACGCATTCGCAGACCAATACCCCGTCCAGGGATTCCTCTGCCAGGTGCGAGCCTCGTTCGCATCATCCTTCTGCCCATCATCGCTCCCCGATTAGGGCCACCCATCATGACCCCAGCGGGTCCTTGCACAGGGTACGGCATCGGTCTCGTCACCGACATTTCCGCCGGGTGTCGGGGATGCAACAAAGGGTCGGGGGACGAGTACGACGCCGAAGGCATGAGATTCGACGCCACTTTGATCCGTCCGGCGACGGTCGGTTCTCCGCCCTGACTGCCGTCTCCGAACCCCGCCTGGTCCACAGCGTCTTGAAACGGCACCATTGCGTCGTTCTGCGAAAAGCAAAAGCCCTAAGAATGCATGCAGAAGTGGAGAAAGCAGAATGACATCAAACGCAAGACACGAGACTGGGTAAAACGTGGCCCAAGATTTTTCCTCTTAATTTCTACGTAAAATGAAAATGGACAAGACATAAAAATCCACCAATCCTAACCTAAAAATCAAACAAACAAGAATTTCTATAGCCTCTAATCTATATGTTGGAAATATTTCGAAAGCTATAGCTATGAAAAAGAATAAATCACTCCTTTTCACGAATGTTTCGAAGCTCTGACCCAAAGCAATGTTGTAGCTTAGCATTCAAAAAAATTGAATCCTAAATTTACATAATTCAATGAAAAAAATCCATTTTCGGGGAGCCTTTCAAGTCTTCAAAAAAAAAAAAGCTCCTATTCAAGGGAGATACGAATTCGAAATTCGACTAATTCATGCGTTGGAAAACGTGAAGATCACTTATAAAACACATAGATCGGCATAAACTACATTTTTTTAATTAGAAAAATTAAAATTTTACACGCAAACCATGAAATATACAACATAATGCAAAACCCGTGACTTCAAATAATTTTAAACATATATCGCGTCCTTTCCACGTGACAAACGTCAAAACGAATGAGAAATTTCGATAAGCTATTCACACAGTAATGCCACGAATGTAAAAAGATACGTTCTTCAGCAACGTCAACATTTGCACGTGATTTAGGCATCTGCACGCATTTTACATGAACACTACGTTTCAAAAATAAATATAACAATAGCCAATATTCTCTCGAGCTTAACCATCGGTTTCCTGACAAAATAATGCATAAATTCATCTTAAATTCCTCGAGAGAAAAAAAATAGCACTGGTTTTACGACAGAAAAAATATCCTCGGCAGTATATGAGGAATTTACGACCTCTCCGGCATAATCACAGATAAGAAAATGCAGCCTGTACCGATCTGGACGTTTCCACAAAATAGTCTGAACTGAACGTAGAAGTTCCGCAACTCTAACGCAACAAGGTAAAATCAACTGATCACGTACGAAGGTAATATCACATGAGCGTTCGTTAAACTCAAACGAAGTAAACTTGAGCAAAAATCGCAAATCTAACGAAAAATTTCGCGATTTTTTTTTTTATGAGCAACACAAAATGTCAACGCCTCCAGTGAATCCCACTATTAATATTAGCACAATATGCAGGTTGTGGAAACAACGAGTTCGCATAAACTGTTATTTAAACAAGCGGAATCTTACGGGGAACGGGAAGGAATCTATCGGAGGCCCAGTGGAAACAGAAACGACGTGGGGAGTAGAATTCGCAGCACTTGCAATGCCTGCATCTCCTACCACAAACGGCGGCATTCCTGCAGAAGACGTTGGCATTGACGGCGGACTTCCAAGTCCGATGGATCCCGGACTGCCGACACCATTCCCAAAAGCACTACTCGTCGATGGTCCATTGTTGTCATTCACAGGAGACGCGATTTCGTTCAGTACACTGTCGAGAGTCGACCCGTCAGTCTCCAGTTTCATCATCTATGAATTTTGGAGCATTGATAGTCAATACCGGGAATTCGCGGGAAAATGGACGCGCATTTTCTTACCGTAACGCGAGACGTGATGGCTTCACTCCGAGAACGTCCTCATCACCGGTCACATTAGCACTCACGTTCTTCTCATCGCTAAAAAAAAACAAAACCAGATCACATCAAGCATCGAAGACAACTTTCACAAGGAAAGATCGAAATCCAATAAACTACAGAAAATATATTTTCTAGCACCTAGAATATACAAATGAAGTTTTCAGGATGGGAACACACACAAAAAAATCATGGAATCACGGAACGTAGTTCAACAAAGGTACAATCCTACTCTTTCTGAATTCACTCCGACAAACAGGACAGAAGGCATTTGTTTGAGAGTGGCGGAAGATGCAATCCCAACAGAACACGTGCCCACAACCGATCGCGGTGGAATTGGAGAGACCATTCAAACAAAGGGGACACTTGGGTGAAGTTCCTGAATTCTCAGCAGCCTTCGCTCTCTGACGCTTGGCAGCTAGCTCACGAGATTTCCTCAAAGTTCGTAGAAACACGTAAGAATCGATCACAGCATTCAAGAATGTAACGATCCCTAACAAGCGGAAGACTGCTCGCGAAATCGGGGAAAAACTGTTTTTCCTTATCGAAACGTAATGGATTTTCGTTAGAAATTTGGGGACATCAAGGAAACCAGACCCGAAATAAAACATAGAAATGACGAACTGCTCCACAAGAGCCAAGACGAACTTCGCAACTGACAGCTTAATCTTCATATTTTCTTTCTGCGACGGAGACATTCCAGGCGCTGTCTCCATACGGTTCTCACAGGAATTCAAAACCTTCTTCAAGATCACAGGACCGAAAGAGGACAAAATAACGGAAGATAATCGCTGAAGGACAGACGGTAACTGCCTCAACGATGAATCCACCTGAAGTGAACCAGTGTACTCTTCACCGATTGTTTGAAGCCCGTTCACAGTGGTAACCACGTAATACATAGATTTGACAAAGGATTCGTACACTTCCTTCCATTTTAAAACGCTACGAACGTTTAGGAGAGATGAGAGAACATCCGTCGTACCATCTGTCAACTTCGAAATATACCACTCATCTTTTTGGTTGGTTCGAAGAATTTCAATGATCTCAGCAGGTAACCGCATTCTGTGGGGATGAGAAGGGGAAGAATGAGCACACACAGCAGTGATTCGATCACAAACGCATGAAAGACGTACATTTGATACGTGTTACCTCCTCGTGAGAAGCAGCTACGACCCTACAGGTATTGCAGCGAAATTGCTGGGATTTCAGAAAAAACGACCGAAGACTACGAGAGCTCCATATGCTGTTTCGGCGTTTTATCACAGAGCTGAGAGCACATGATCAAATGGACAAAGCGGAAAAAACACAATTCAGTGCAGGTACTGTGTTGTACAGTACAATACTCGCGCCGTTTCTGAACTTGTATGCTGTATTGGTCATTATCTATATACCGTATAATGTATAAACATTACACGTTTTTTACAAGGTATTATATCATTGAAATTGAAAAATCAGCAATAACGGAACAACGGTTTATTAATTTCAACTCTAGTAAGATAAACAATTTTGAGTAGGGCAATTATACTGCAGTATATTCACAGATGATAGAACTACAATATTTAAACACAGTACGCTGAAATTCCCATCTTAAAATTATAAAAGTTCTTTTTATTGATAATTCTCACATCCTCAGAGGCAAGCTGTAATTTAAATATTTGTGAAATAGTTTGACAGACTGTATATGCTGCATGCACTATACTGTACATATGTTCTTGTGGCAACTTTCTTATTCTTAGCTTGTGGATTTGCCAAAACAATCGATCTCCTTTTCATAAATGGGATCCATTCAAGGCAGTCCCTCAGGGTAATTACAATTGGATTTCAAACAAATACTGTATTGTGCATGATTCACTCTTAGGGCTAGAAGATGGTCATCGCACACTGTATTTTGCACTTCATCTGCATTTCTGAAGCACATAACAGGGAACCAAAGGGGATATTCGATGACTTTTTTGAAAATACAGTACTACCTTTATTGACAGCATCCCCTGCACCTTTTTCAAGTAGCCCTCTTGATAAATATTTCATTGTTGACTTTTCTTAATTTTTATTCGATGCAACACAATACAAGGAAAATAAGATTCTGAATCCGGTTTATGTTTGAAGACAATTATGAAAACCTCGGATGGAAAAAGGAAAGAAAATAACCGTTCGGAATTGCAGAACACCATTTCATCGCCAAAACTCATGGGTATCATACGCATGACGAGTACACATTTTTTTGTGGACCAAAATTCATTGCTTTCAAATCTTGATCTTGCAATGTTGCTGCAATTCTGTACAGTGAAACCTCTTGTAATAAATTTGTCGTTTATTATATATTTATACATAATGAACAATACACTCAACAAATAACCACTGCCCGTATACCTCATAGAAAAATAAACAGATTTTCTACAACAACAACAATGCAAACAGGCTGGTCACTTAACAACAGGTCAGCTCTTCCTAACATCACCACATGCCACATAACAAACACTTTATACACAAAGACGCACAACTGGAACAAATTGCATTTGTTATGCATAAGGCACTCTATAATCTATGATGTTTTGACTGCAAAGAGTTCAAACTAATTCATTTGCATCATGATGGATTATCTTTGACTGGTACACAGCTGCTCCACCATCTACTCTCAGGGTTTCACCAGTGATGAAGGATGCGTCTTCGGAAGCCAAGAATGCAATGGCTTTTGCAGCTTCATGCACATTTCCACATCTTCCCATAGGATGAGTAGTCGCAGCCAATTTTGTTACCTATTCCACAAATCAGTATGAATAAGAGCACAAAGTCAGACTAATTGCTTTTTCTTGATCTTCATCACAAAAGGGGAGAAATATGAGCGTTCGGTGTTTTAACTCTTGGGCGGTGCAGGGTTCCTGGTTGTTGAGCAGAAAATTTGGAATTTTATTCAGGAGGAGGGACATTTCAGTTTGACCAAAGGTCACGATGAAATGCCCATAGATTGCCAAGGACTAAGTTGGGAAAAATCCAGGAACAGAAAATCCCATTACCTCAATAAATCTTAAATTTTAACCCTGTGCTGGGAACTCATGAAGAAAACGCAACCCATGCAGTGAGGCATTTTTTAAATTCAACATTAACATTCATGATTCTGCTGGATTATAAAAATTTCAGAGTTTTTCCTGGCTTAGGCCTTGATTCAAAAATCACACTTTTTAAATTTGCACCCTTCATGGGAACAAAATTTTGCAAAAATATCCAAAATTTTCCGCACAAGGTTTTAAAACAATCAGAGTTCATCATACAAAAATATTCATATCATCATACTAAGCTTCAGCCCACTGTCAGGCTTCATTATATTATTCTGAGTTCTGTAGAAGATGAATCTAAAAAAACAGCAGAACAGCTTTGAATTTTTATGGGTAAAAATTACCCATTAATTATTACCCATCATTTATTATATATTTTGATTCCACATTTTAAAAATCAGTTCCACACCTCTGAAAATATCTGTCCAAAGTTGAGCTATGGTCTTTATTACAGCAGCTCGTGGCTTTCTTTTTAGTGTGGTATAAAAACTATAAATACAGTCATGCATCTAATCAAACTGTTTTCTGAATTATGAGGGTGGGTTCCTAAGTTTGAAGACTTTTTGAAATGGCTCCAACAAGTTTCAACAATTCAAAATAACCACAAAATTACTCTCATTGTACCATTGCTTCAGTGCTGGTCAACATACTCTGCCCCAATTTCAATACATTTTTTTCATGCCATAAATAATGCAAAAGTCTGACCAGCTCCAACCAGCTGCTGGTGCTCATATTGTTCCAGAGTCAAGGTTTCCAGATTCCCAGGGACTCCTATGCCTGCATTGGCCACCTATATTATTTCCATGCAGACTTATACTGTATTATCTTACCAAGAATATCAATAAATGGATAATAATTGAATGCAAAACCAACCACAGCATCTAAGCATTCAAACTTCTCAATTCCCTTGTTCGCATAAGCTTCTAGGTCTTCTTTCTTGGCCACATCACCCACCACTTGGACAATCTGTTGATGATTAAGAAATTCAAAAGATCAATACATTCTAGGAAGTCAGCAGAAAAAATACAAAATTTGTTAAACCTTGTCAGGTGACAGACCAAGCTCAATGCACTTGTCTGCAGTGTGTTGCAAGTTCTCTGCATTTCTGCCACAGAGGATCAAAGAAGATCCATGACAAGCAAACACTTCAGCTGCACCAGCTCCAATCCCAGAACTTGCGCCTGCAATTTAAAAAATAATCCATATCAAATCTTGCATTGCTGAAAAGTAGAATCTCATTACAAAAATTTTTTTCAATGCCAAGAATATTTTTCAAAATGTTTCAAATATCCAATCATGATATTTTATATTTTGTCTTTGTCAGACAATTTTCATTTTATTTTAATGGAAGTATTTCAAAGATATCAATGGCTTGTTAGAAAAATTTTTTATTCATCATAAAATAAATCATACGAAGAAACCTACTTTGACAATTTATGGTGAGTCACATGTATACTTGGTCAAATTAGTGAAACAGCTAACCTGTGATCAGAACCTCTTTCTTCTCCAAACCCACGTAGGAACCTTTGGGTGTTCCAGCAGCAGCACTCATTTTGATTGCGTTGAAAAGATAAAATTGATGATTCAAAACACTGTCAACCTTCATATGCTATAAGTGCAACAGATCACCAACAAAGGACAATAAAACATAATGAAACAAGTAAATAATGAATAGTACAGTGCAGTACTTCAATTTATGGTTATGTACTTATTTAAGGGATGCCTTAAAAATAAACATTCCTCGTTTTCTCAAATGCTTTATTAAAGCCTTTTTTTAAAGGAAAAACTAAACGAATTCAAATAATTCACAGTACGACACCACGAATAATGCAACACAGAACTAAAGTAACTCATTAGATCAACACACTTGAAACAAAATCAAAATCAAGGAGAATGTGCCCAGCATAGATCCGATCAGGCATAAGAGTATTGTACTTATTTTCAAAATTTAATAGCTGGGATGAGATACTGGAAATCATGTGATTGATAGCTTGGTACAGTTTCAAGAGGACATCAACTGTACAGCACTTATTTGGTTTGGAATGGACTGTTACTTAAAAAATGGACTGATGAATTAGGATTGAAAAATATCCACTGCTTATGAAGAGAGCTGTTCATCCGATGTTCTTCTCTGAAAATTTCTAAGGAATGATTAGAGAAAGTCTCAACAGCAACGAAACACTGGGCGAATTCCAGTTCTCAAAACTAGAATACCTTGGAGTCCAGTTCTGTTTCTCATTTCCATTACAAAAGAAGAATTATGCACGAGGCACTCTATATAATCTATGATGTTTTGACTTCAGAAAGTTCAAACTAATTCATTTTCATCGTGATGGACTATCTTTGACTGGTACACAGCTGCTCCGCCATCTACTCTCAGGGTTTCACCAGTGATGAAGGATGCGTCTTCGGAAGCCAAGAATGCAATGGCTTTTGCAGCTTCATGCACATTTCCACATCTTCCCATAGGATGAGTAGTCGCAGCCAATTTTGTTACCTGTTCCACAAATTAGTATGAATAAGAGCACAAAGTCAGACTAATTGCTTTTTCTTGATCTTCATCGGAAAAGGGGAGAAATATGAGCATTCAGTGTTTTAACTCTTGGCCGGTGGAGGGTTCCTAGTTCTTAAGCAGAAAATTTGGGATTTTTTTCAGGAGGAGGGGCATTTCAGTTTGACCAAAGGTCACGATGAAATGCCCATAGGTTGCCAAGGACTAAGTTGGGAAAAATCCAGGAAAAGAAAATCCCATTATCTCAATAAATCTTAAATTTTAATCCTGTGCTGGGAACTCATGAAGAAAACACAACCCAGTGAGGAATTTTTTTTATTCAACATTAAGATTTATTATTCTGAAGGATTATAAAATTTCAGAGTTCATCCTAACTTAGGCCTTGATTCAAAAATCCCACTTTTTAAAGTTGCAGCCTTCATTGGGACACAATTTTGCAAAAATATCCAACATTTTCCACACAAGTGTTTCTTTAAAACAATAAAGAGTTCATCATGGAAAAATATTCACATCATCATGCTAAGCTTCAGCACACTGTCAGGCTTTCTTAAATTATTCTGAGTTCTGTATATTTGATGAATCTGAAAAAACAGCACAACAGTTTTGAATTTTTATGGGTATATATTTTGATTTCACATTTTAAAAATCAGTTCCACACCTCTGAAAATATCTGTCCAAAGTTGAGCTATGGTCTTTATTACAGCAGCTTGTGGCTGTTTTTTTTCTTAGTTTGGCATAAAAACTATAAATACAGTCATGCATCTAATCAAACTGTATTCTGAATTATGAGGGTTGTTTCATAAGTTTGGAGACTTTTTGAAATGGCTCCAACAAGTTTGAACAATTCCAAACCACCACAAAATTACTCTCATTGTACCATTACTTCAGTGCTGGTCAACCAATTTCTATGCATTTTTCATTCCATAAATCCAAAAGTCAAAACAGTGCCAAAAATCCAGTTCCCTTATACTGTATAGTAGTTCAAGTTTCTCTTCCACAGCGGAAATGAGGCTGTGCCTGTCATCAAAATCAATACTTTCATTTCAGATCAACTATAACAAGCCTCGTTTTTTTTCAATGGTTTGATATGTTGGATTTCTTGCATGAAAAAAATTGCATTCAAATTGGCAGAGAGTATGTTGAACAGCACTCAGGTGTTGACAAATGAAGGGGCTATGCAAGTGAAAAAAATTGGGATTTTTGTTTTTAATTTGTAGGATTTATTTCAAAAAGTCTCAAAGCTTATGAACCAACTCTAATATAGACCAGGCAAATTTTAAGACAGTACCGTTTCATAAGAAACTTTGGCAGCTGGTAGTGTCCCAACCCTTTTGAAAATTTCCGTGTAAATCATGCCAGGACTAACACAATTGGCCCGGACGCCATCTTTGGCCACATCCATGGCAACATTGCGGATCATGTGATCCAAAGCAGCTTTGCTGATAGAATATGCCAGAAAGGGCGCCATCTGGAATGGAAAAATGAGTGTTGCAGCATTAAATATACGTAATAATAGCACAATATAGTTTTTCTGTAGGACTTGTACTTTTTTGATACAGAAAAGGTGATACTAATTGAGATATTTCCTTTCCTTTATAGTCTCCCATTTAGATTAAGTAGAGTCTGATGGCACCAACAGAACTCAGTTACGTGGATTTAGTCCATTGTGTGGGAGGGAAAACCGCCTCCAGACCAAAGGCAGTCTATTGTGCAAAAATCCATTGCGCAGGACGAGGTGCGTTGTGCGATGGGGTTTGAGTGTTGTGTAAGTTTTTTATATTTGAAATATTAATTCACCATATGTATGTTGACTGAGATAAGATTATTTATTGTATATAGTATCGAGTTCAAGAACCAGTTGAGCGCATAATTTTTCAAGCTTTATTCAATCTGCAGAATAATTTGAAAATAAGTCCTGTTGAAAAAAGTGGTTTAAAATTTTTACAAAGGTGAAGTCAAATAAACTCTCAAAGACATATATAAAACACCACTTACTACTCTCATGCCAGAAATTGAAGATACAGCAACAACATTTCCTTTGGTCTTTTTCAATTCTGGCATTGTTAATTGCAGGAGACTGAAGACAGATGCTGTGTTCACCAGTTGCAGCTGCTCATATCGTTCCATAGTTAAGGTGTCTAGATTTCCAGGCAATATCATGCCAGCATTTGCCACCTAGTATTTTCAGGCAGAGTTTTATTATACTTATCACAATAATGAAATTTAACCAACCAAAACATCCAAGCGTCCAAACTTATGGAGTCCCTTGTTCACGTAAGATTCCAGGTCTTCTCTTTTTGCCACATCACCCACCACTTGCACAAGCTGTTCAGGAAAATTTAAAGGGTCAATGAGTTATTAGAGGGAATCATCAGGATAACAAAAAAATTAATAAAACCTTGTCAGGTGACAGACCAAGGTTTATGCACTTGTCTGCAGTCTCTTGCAAGTTCTTTGAATTTCTGCCACAAAGAATCAGAGACGATCCATGACTAGCAAACACTTCAGCTGCACCAGCTCCAATTCCTGAACTTGCACCTAAATGAAAAAAAAATAAGTATTTTCTCTTGCAAAATTTTCATGCCATTTAAGAAATCTTGCATCAGGACTTGACCATGATTTTTTTTTTCGTCCGATAAAGCACTAACCTGTGATGAGAGCCACCTTTTTCCCCAGACCAAGAAATGCTCTCATTGCTGGACCCATTTTTCCTGCATGAACTTTTTGCAAAGAAAGTGAAACAAAAAGGCTGAGAATTCAATCTTCATGTGATCAATACCTTTCAATCATGTCACATTGCAGGTAATTGTTAATTAGTTTCTCCAGGATAATTATTCATTTGAATTCAACATATTTCCAATTAAGTAAATCCCATGAAAGAAAAATCTAGCTATAATTCATCATTGCTCACAACAGATGCATTTTTAATCATACTGACAGTCATAATTTTTTCAAAGTTTCTTTATAGCACATTTTTCAAAAACAAGAACTTACTTTCAAAAATACCAATGAGCAACCAAAGACATTTAGAGAGTCAATTTTTGATAAACCTCCCAACTGAAAAAAAGTTCCCACTTTGCACTTTTCAAATACTGTATGAAGAGAAATCTGACGTAACTTGAAATTTTTTTTATTCAGCCTGTACATAAACACTGCAAGGAATACAACTTTAGTCTGAATACTTTTTTAGAGGTGTTGGGAAACCCAGTGCTGAATACAGCCACTTGCATTATCTTCTGTTCCTGGTAATCTCTTTTGGGAAAACGGGATTTGAAGTACTTTTGACTTTAGGCAAGTGACAGATTCCATCTATTTCCTCTCAATTCTTCTGAAGTTTCAGGATCTTGAACTAGATAATCTTTGAGTTCATTAATGGTTCACAAATGAAATTTTAAGGTTGTGACGGTTTATACGATACGCTCACTGGGATATTGGAAAGCTGACTCGGATTGTGGCCCATGTATAGAACAGCCTCGAGATGACTCTAATCATGGTCAACTCTGATGCTTGCAATTCAAGAAATTAAGCTCTTTTGATATACTGTATAATAATACTTACCAACCCGCCAATCCTGCATTAAATGCATTATTCTCCAATAATAAGGGAATTCAGACAGGGATTAAAAAAAAATGCATTTTGACACTGAAAGGTTCGAGTTATGATGAAGGTTAAACTATATAAAATGACATACATGTGATCAACACCACTTTGTTTCCCAGACCCGAGTAAGCTCCGTTCGGTGACACATTCATGATCGCTCAAAATCAAATAAACGAATACGTGCAAGTAATTCAAAACACTGCCACACTTATTCGCATGCAATGCCTTATACAAGTTGGATATACGAGGAAGAAATGTAATGACGAAGACCCGAATAACTCTTCTGAAAAGGACGAAATCCTCGGACTATCTGGTGATGGTGAAACTTCCAAAATCTGATGAACGCCGACTTTTTGTACGTTTTTGTACTTTTTGTATCTCAGTCAACATACATATGGTGAATTAATATTTCAAATATAAAAAACTTACACAACACTCAAACCCCATCGCACAACGCACCTCGTCCTGCGCAATGGATTTTTGCACAATAGACTGCCTTTGGTAAAGTATTGATTTTGATGACAGGCACAGCCTCATTTCCGCTGTGGAAGAGAAACTTGAACTACTATACAGTATAAGGGAACTGGATTTTTGGCACTGTTTTGACTTTTGGATTTATGGAATAAAAAAATGCATGGAAATTGGTTGACCAGCACTGAAGTAATGGTACAATGAGAGTAATTTTGTGGTGGTTTGGAATTGTTCAAACTTGTTGGAGCCATTTCAAAAAGTCTCCAAACTTATGAACCAACCCTCATAATTCAGAATACAGTTTGATTAGATGCATGATTGTATTTACAGTTTTTATGCCAAACTAAGAAAAAAACAGCCACAAGCTGCTGTAATAAAGACCATAGCTCAACTTTGGACAGATATTTTCAGAGGTGTGGAAATGATTTTTAAAATGTGAAATAAAATATATACTGTACCCATAAAAATTCAAAGCTGTTGTGCTGTTTTTTCAATCAAATATACCGAACTCAGAATAATTCAAGAAAGCCTAAAAGTGTTTTGAAGCTGATATTGATGATGTCAATATTTTTCCATGATGAACTCTGATTGTTTTAAACCCTTGTGTGGAAAATTTTGGATGCAAAACTGTGTCCCCATGAAGCTAGGCTGCAAATTTAAAAAGTGGGATTTTTGAATCAAGGCCTAAGTTAGGATGAACTCTGAAATTTTTATAATCCAGCAGAATCACAAAAGTTAATGTTGAATAAAAAAAATGCCTCACTGGGTTTCGTTTTCTTCATGAATTCCCAGGATAGGATTAAAATTTAAGAAGTATTGAGATACAGTAATGGGATTTTCTGTACCTTGATTTTTCCCAACTTAGTCCTTGGCAACCTATGGGCATTTCATCGTGAACTTTGGTCAAACTGAAATGCCCCTCCTCCTGAAAAAATCCCAAATTTTCTGCTCAACTACCAGGAACCCTCCACCGTCCAAGAGTTAAAACACTGAAAGCTCATATTTCTCCCCTTTTCTGGTGAAGATCGAGAAAAAGCAATTAGTCTGACTTTGTGCTCTTATTCATACTAATTTGTGGAACAGGTAACAAAATTGGCTGCGACTACTCATCCTATGGGAAGATGTGGAAATGTGCATGAAGCTGCAAAAGCCATTGCATTCTTGGCTTCCGAAGACGCATCCTTCATCACTGGTGAAACCCTGAGAGTAGATTGCGGAGCAGCTGTGTACCAGTCAANTGAACAAGGGGCTTGAGAAGTTTGGACGCTTAGATGTTGTGGTTGGTTTTGAATTCCATTATTATGCATTTATTGATATTCTTGGTAAGATAATACAGTATAACTCTGCATGGAAATAATATAGGTGGCAAATGCAGGCATAGGAGTCCCTGGAAATCTGGAAACCTTGACTCTGGAACAATATGAGCACCAGCAGCTGGTGAACACAACATCTGTCTTCAGTTTACTCAAACTTGCAATGCCAGAGTTGAAGAAGACCAGAGGAAATGTTGTTGCTGTGTCCTCAATTGCTGGTCTGAAACCAGTAAGTGCTGCTGTATAAAAAAATACTCAACTAAACACATATGTAAATTTAAACCAAGGTTCTTTCACATGCTTTAGAAGTTTAGATTATTATTATATATTCATTCTTCAGATTGACTCAATGTTGACATATTGTGTGAGCAAAGCTGGTATGGACCAAATGATCCGCTGCATCTCCTTGGAAGTGGCAAAAGATGGCGTTCGCGTCAACTGCATAAACCCTGGCGCCATCTACACTAATATTTTCAATGCAATGGGCATTTTTGGAGATGGAATGACTTATGAAAAGGTACACAATTTTTTTAAATACTAGTGAACTCTCTCATCTATGCAACAAAATGCAAGGAGCCAGAAAAAAATACTGCTTCATATAGAATTTCCTTGTACAGTATATATAGGAAACCCATAACCAAAAAATGTATACAGATAAGACCATTGTTGACAAGATTGTTGTAAATAGTTCACCGTGTGCACCTTTCATATTTCCTGGTCTGAATTCAGATAATTTGAGTTCTCTCAATAATGATCTTGTCTGCAACAAATGTTTCTTTTGTCCCATATGTGATGGTTCTCTCCCTATGTTATTATGCGTGTTTCCAACAACAAAATTATCTGCACAAACAAATTGTTTCCTGGTCCCTTGAGTTGCATTGTAGATAGAGTTCTCCTGCCTGTACTAAATCAATGACTATGCTGGTAATGTCATGTTTTCTTACACAGGCCAATGCATTGGTATCAAAGACTCATCCGATTGGAAGGATTGGAAATGTTTATGAAACTGGAAAAGCCATTGCATTCTTGGCATCAGATGATGCATCATTCATCACTGGTGTGACCCTGAGGGTGGATGGAGGAGCTGCTCTGGTTCTTCCCTTGCCTGATATTCCTCTTGGAAACAAGTGAAGGTTCATTTGGGAAACTATATACAGTATCTTAAATTGCCTGCATGTCTGCCTGTAATGAAAATTAATGTACTGTTTTTACTCAATAGTACTGGGATGTGCCCTGCAACTTTTTTCTTGAACTTTAAAAAAAAACTCTGAGTATATTTCACACTGCATCTTTTGAAAAATAACTTGCAGGTTTTATTTGAGTAAATGCGGTATTATGGGAGATGAAAAAAAATAAAATTACTGTATTGAAAGCTTTTGAAGGATATTTCGTTTATTGTACTGTACTGGTTCATCTACTATGAGTTTTATGCCATTTTATGTCGGCCTTCATCATACACAACATTTTCTGAGATTTCATCGATGCTGAATGTGAAATATACATTGGCCTGTAAACTCTCACGTTTATTTTATCCTTCATTATTTACAATTATATCTCATGCGAAACTTCATGGGCAGTACTGTATTTCACTGTTAAGTTTCGATTTTTGTAAATGGGAACGAATTTTCAACTGATCAAATACTTTTCTTTAATTTTCTTTTAACTGATTTAAATTTTTTTCAAATTTCAAGGACATCCGCTGTGAACAAACTTTTCGAAATAATTTTCAACAATTCTTCATACAGCGTCAAGTACTCAATAAATTGTTTAAAATAAAATAATCGATATGGTACGCTTTAGATATGCCCTGGTGCTGACGTGACATGCTGCATGCAAAAAAAAACTAAACCAAGCCTATTTATTTCAAATACAGTACAGGTATTTCTCCGCATAAGTGAAGGTTACAGCTGAAAATAGATTTTTTTAAATCAGCAAAAAAATATAGGCTATAGGCTCACTTGGTTTATTATATATTGCGATGCTGTACAATATACAAAATACCGTTAAAAAAAAAGATTCTCACGGAGACCGCGAAAGAATTTTCCTGGACTTTCACAGCACTTACTTCATTTCGAACTTCAAAAAACGACAGTTTCATTTCGTAAAGGTTCATTCCAGGGAGTCGAGTGATTTCATGAATGTTCGCGAAATTTTAGATTACATTTTATATTCGGAGATTTTTTTTTCTCACATTGTGGAGTTTTTACGACAATCTTGTCTACAATGATTTTCTCTGTATACATTTTGTTGTTCTTATTGGTTCTCTCTCTATCCGAGGAAAATCTATATGAAGCAGTATTTTTTTCTGGCCCCTTGCATTTTGTTGCATAGATGAGAGAGATTACTAGTTTTAAAAAAATGGTGTACCTTCTCATAAGTCATTCCATCTCCGAAAATGCCCATTGCATTGAAAATATTAGTGTAGATGGCGCCAGGGTTTATGCAGTTGACGCGAACGCCATCTTTTGCCACTTCCAAGGAGATGCAGCGGATCATTTGGTCCATACCAGCTTTGCTCATAAATAGGGTGTTTTGCACCCCGGTCGTAGCCCAACCGAATTCTTGTGTTTTATTTAAAACTTCACTTTACTAACTCTCAATCCTAAATTCTAATCTTTACCTTGTCGGGATTTATTCCCAACAACATAAATACTGCAAGGAATACAACTTTAGTCTGAATACTTTTCTAGAGGTGTTGGGAAACCCAGTGCTGAATACATCCACTTGCATTATCTTTTGTTCTTGGTAATCTCTTGGGAAAAGGGGATTTGAAGTACTTTTGACTTTAGACAAATGACGGATTGCATCTATTTCCTCTCAATTCTTCTGAAGTTTCAGGGTCTTCAACTATATAATCTTTGAGTTCATTATAATGGTGTACAAATGAAAGTTTAAGGTTGTGATGGTTTATATGATGAGATACTGTTAGGATATGTTGTTTCTTACATAAGAACAGGGAAAGTCTGCAGTTTATTTAGTGAACACACTGTAATATAGTTAATCTCGCAGACATAAAAAATATGAATAGCATAGAATGGTGTATATTCAACAGCTGACTCGGATTGTGGCCCATGTATATATAGAACAGCCTCGAGATGCCTCTGATGATGGAAAACTCTAATGCTTGCAATTCAAAAATTAAGCTCTTTCGAAATATAATACTTATCAAACCGCCAATCCTGCATTAAAAAATCAAAAGCACACGCAAATGATTTCAACAACCCACATTTTATTTTGAATCACGAGTGCTTTCATCACAAGAAATTTAAAAACAGGAATCACTTTTGAAGATGAAATGGCCCAACAGGTGCATAGTATTTTTTTTTCTCAAAAAATTGCACCAAAGCAGGAAATCTGCGTCTCTCATCCTACGTGTGTGTGTGCTTTTTTCACTTTTAAGAATTTTAATGCACTTGGGTCAGATTAAATTTTGCACAGAGGGGATGTCAAACAATGGCTGAGAGAGACCAACTCCACCATCCACCCTCAGGGTCTCGCCAGTGATGAAAGATGCATCATCTGATGCCAAGAATGCAATGGTTTTCCCAGTTTCATACACATTTCCACATCTGCCCAATGGATGAGTGCTGGATGCCAATGCATTCACCTGTGTGCAAATAAGAAATTATTCATTTACTGCAGCTAAGATTGCTGGATGCATGAAAGAAAAAGAAAAAAAAAAAGGGAAAACACCAGGTTAAAAATATGATAAATATTTTGATCACTTTTTTCTTGGAAAATGAGGCACAAATGTTTTGAGAATTGATGATGGGAAATGGTTTCTTTTGTTTAATACATGGGTTTAAAGGATTTCACAAATTAGTGGAATTCTTTCCACCCTCCCCTCCCATTCTATGACATTATATAGAGGGTTGATTTCATCTGAAATAGCTTTGAATTTTATGAGGTTAAGAAAAATCACCTTGAAATAGTTTCTTGCATGGGTTTAAAGGATTTCACAAATTAGTGGAATTCTTTCCACCCTCCCCTCCCATTCTATGACATTATATAGAGGGTTGATTTTATCTGAAATAGCTTTGAATTTTATGGGGTCAAGAAAACTCACCTTGAAATAGTTTCTTACATGGGTTTGAAGGATTTTACAAATTAGTGGAATTCTTTCCACCCTCCCCTCCCATTCTTTGACATTATATAAAGGGTTGATTTTATTTGAAAAAGCTTTAAATTTTATGGGGTTAAGAAAACTCACCAGATCAAAGGTTACTTTTGAATCTCCAAACATCCCGCAGTTGGTGAAAATATTGGTGAAGATGGCGCCAGGGTTTATGCAATTGACGCGGACTCCAAATTTGGCAACTTCCAAGGAGATGCAACGGATCATTTGGTCCATCCCTGCCTTGCTCACTGAATACGCCAGCATTGAATCAATCTGAATTTGGAATACGGTATATACTGAACTTACTCATGTACTCTACCGCATAGGGCATTGAATCCACAAGTAAGATATGCAACAAGATTTTATTCCAAGAAATTTTCATATAAAACCTATCTCTACAGTCATTGAACCCCGCACAAAGGACTTCATTCGTGCAAAAGACTAGTCTGTTATGTGAAAGCCTGTTATGGGAATTTGATTTTCCTATATGTTTACACTTATGCAAAACAAGAAAGATTGCAACCAAAAAACACAACACACACATACAAATTGCAGTAATAATGACATTTTGCATTAAAATTAAGTTGGGACCTGAGGGACTCACATTCACTGTTGGTGCGCACTTTTACAAACAGAAGTCTGTTATGTGGATTTTTCTGTCATGCAAGAGGAAAAACTGCCTCCAGAGGCAGTCTATTCTGCAAAACTATGTTATGCGGGAGGTATGTTGTGCAGGGGTTGACTATAGATGCATAACATCTAGTTCCAAGTTGTTATCCTATAATTTCATCAGTGATGAAAATTTTCACAATACTGTAAATGAGAAAAATATTTTAGTCCTTGAAGAATGTTGAATTAAATTTTACAAGAGATTGAAAACCAATTGAATACAACTTCATCTAATCAATAGTGAATTCAGATTTTTGCAGCTTTTGAACAATTGAATTTCAAAGATCAGTCTAAAACTTTTGGCCTAATGACCTTGGTATGACATATGATACTACATGATGCTGGAAATTTTATACATTTTGTTTATATGAAAGTAAAAAAGTGTCACAGGGAAAAAATACATTATTCAAGCCCCTTTTGCAAATAAAAATTGTTACGCTTCATATTTGGCACATGAGTCATTTGTTACACAGAGACTTATTGATTTGAATTCAATTACTTACTGGTCTCAGACCAGCTATTGAAGACACTGCAACAATGTTCCCTTTGGTTTTCTTCAACTCTGGCATTGCAAGTTTCAGTAAGCTGAAGACAGATGTTGTGTTCACCAATTGTTGGAGCTCGTATTGCTCCAGAGTCAAGGTTTCCAAATTTCCTGGGACTCCTATGCCTGCATTGGCCACCTTCCATTAACAAAAAAATGCATAAATTGTGAAAGAATATAATTAAAAAACCAACCAAAACATCCAAGCGTCCAAACTTCTCAAGTCCCTTGTTCACATAAGCTTCCAAGTCTTCTCTCATTGTCACATCACCCACCACTTGGACAATCTGTTCATCATGGAATAAAAGAGTCAATGTTTTGAGGAAATCATCAGGATAACTGGAAAATTAATGAAACCTTGTTAGGTGACAGACCAAGTTCAATGCACTTGTCTGCAGTGTGTTGCAAGTTCTCTGCATTTCTCCCACAGAGGATCAAAGATGATCCATGACAAGCAAACACTTCAGCTGCACCTGCTCCAATCCCTGAACTTGCTCCTATGCAGAAAAAAGCATATTGTTTGGTTAAATGTACAGTATACTTAAAATGGTCTTAAACAACACTGTTGTGAAATTTTTACATTTTTCAAAAATTTCAGGAAATGGATGCATACGCGTTCTTTTTACACATATTTGGTTTTCAAAAATTTTCACTGCCAACAACATAAAAAACAGAAGTTAAAATTCAAATTTAACTTCAATATATTTATAATGTGATCATAGCTGCATTCAATGCTCCCTTACTTTCAAGTAGGTTTAATCCAAGATTTCTATATAAGAACTCAAAGAAGTTGACCCAAAATTTCTGTTCATCAGCATGGAAATGGAGAACAACGTTCTTTCTTTGGTTTCTTTCATAACCATTATTTTAAGTAAGTGTAGTACACACAAATTATCATGGGCTTTTGTTCTTTGTTGTTTCTGTTTGATGTTCAAGCAGGTAATTTTTTCAAGGAATGAAACTGAAAAATAACCCTAATTCTATCAAATTATTCACTGCAAAATGCATCCATGAGCTAATCATCAGAACCAATTGAAACAAATACCTGTACAAGGAAATCAACAAGTTGAACTTCAGTTGAAGGACCAAAAACAAAATTTAACTTAGGGAGGTTTTGAGTTAGGGAAACAAACATTTGTGTGGGGGACAAAAAAAGAATAATGACAGGAAATTGTAATTGCTGATATTCTGGGCCTTGAAGTGCTTCATATAAAGGAATTGACAGAATGCCAAACTTTAAGGCAAAAGGGTTTATTTCCCCAATTAGTCTTTGACTTCCATTCAAAACACATAATTTTTATTAATTTTATCTTACATTTCACATTTTTATCTTTTTTGTGTCAATAAAATAATGACTAAAAGACCCCCAGCAAATTTGAGTCTTGCAGGTTTGAGGTGGAAAGCCTTTGAGTTAGGGCGGCATTAAATGCATTATTGTTCTCAAATATTGAGGGAATTCAGACAGGGATTAAAAAAAAACATTTTGACACTGAGAGGTTCGAGTTATGATCAAGGTTGAACCATATAAAATGACATACCTGTGATCAATACCACTTTGTTTCCCAGACCCGAGTAAGCTCCGTTCGGTGACACATTCATGATCGCTCAAAATTAAATAAACGAATATGTGCCAATAATTTAAAACACTCTCACACTTATTCCCATGCAATGCCTTTTACAAGGAGAATATACATGGAAGAACTGTATACCACAAGACCCGACCTCTTCTGAAGGACGAAATCCTCCGACTATCATGGTGATGGTGAAACTGCCAAAATCTGATAAACGCCCACTTTTTGTACGTTTCCTCGTCTTTTCTTGACACTGACCTTGGTACTCGAAGAAAAAAAACATTCAAACCGGAAAAGTGTGGATAGTTCTTCTTTTCGTCCCTTGATTTTAATCAGCGCAAGAAAAAAATAATAATCTTCGAATACCTGTTTCGTGAACATTCATCATGAAATCCCTCGACTCCCTGGAATGAACCTGTACGAAATGATAAATTTGAAATGAAGTAAGTGGAATAAAAGTCCTGGAAAATTCTTTCGCGGTGTCTGTGAGAACGTCTTTTTACGGCATTTTTACATTGTATAGCATCGCAATAATAAACCAAGTGAGCCAATATTTTTATGTTGATTTTTAAAAATCTATTTTCAGCTGTAGCCTTGACTTATGCGGAGAATATATTTTAAATAAATAGGCTTGGTTTAGTTTTCTTTTGCATGCATGTCACGCCAAAATCAGTGCATATCTACCACATCGTATCGATTATTCAATTCCGAAAAAAACAAGATTTATTAAGTAATTTACGGTGTATGAAGAATTATTGAAAAATATTTCGAAAAGTTTGTTCACAGTGAATGTCCTTGAAATTTGAAAGAACTTAATTTTTAGAAACAGTGAAAATCAAATTACAGAAAAGTGCTTGATCAATTCAAGATTCGTTTCCAATTATCAAAATCAAAACTCAACAGTGAAATACAGTATAGCACAGTTTCGCGTGAGAAAGAATTGTATAATGAAAGGTAAAATAAACGAGAGAGAACATACAGAACAATGTATATTTCACATTCAGCATCAATGAAATCTCAGAAAATGTTGAGTTTATGAAGACCGACATAAAATGGCATATGCTCATGGCAGAAGAACCAGTACAATAACCTAAAATTCCTTCAAAAGATTTGAACAATTTTGATAATTTTTTATGAATCCCATAATACCGTATTTACTCAAGTAAAACCTGCAATATTATTTTAAATAGATGATGTGTGCAATATACTCATACAGACATAGGTTTTTTCTTGAAAGTTCAAGAAAAAAAGTTGAAGTGGCACATGCTATTACTATTGAGTAAATACAGTACATTAATTTTCATTACAGGCAGACATGCAGGCAATTTAAAATACTGTATATATTTTCCCAAATGTGACTTTCACTTGTTTCCAAGAGGAATATCAGGCAAGGGAAGAACCAGAGCAGCTCCTCCATCCACCCTCAGGGTCACACCAGTGATGAATGATGCATCATCTGATGCCAAGAATGCAATGGCTTTTCCAGTTTCATAAACATTTCCAATCCTTCCAATTGGATGAGTCTTTGATACCAATGCATTGGCCTGTGTAAGAAAACATGACATTACCAGTATAGTCATTGATTTAATACAGGCAGGTGAACTCTATATCTACAATGAAACTCAAGGGACCAGGAAACAATTTGTTTGTGCAGAGAATTTTGTTGTTGGAAACACGCATAATAACATAGGGAGAGAACCATCACATATGGGACAAAAGAAACATTTGTTGCAGACAAGATCATTATTGAGAGAACTCAAATTATCTGAATTCAGACCAGGAAATATGAAAGGTGCACACGGTGGACTATTTACAACAATCTTGTCAACAATGGTCTTATCTGTATACATTTTTTGGTTATGGGTTTCCTATATATACTGTACAAGGAAATTCTATATGAAGCAGTATTTTTTTCTGGCTCCTTGCATTTTGTTGCATAGATGAGAGAGTTCACTAGTATTTAAAAAAATTGTGTACCTTTTCATAAGTCATTCCATCTCCAAAAATGCCCATTGCATTGAAAATATTAGTGTAGATGGCGCCAGGGTTTATGCAGTTGACGCGAACGCCATCTTTTGCCACTTCCAAGGAGATGCAGCGGATCATTTGGTCCATACCAGCTTTGCTCACACAATATGTCAACATTGAGTCAATCTGAAGAATGAATATATAATAATAATCTAAACTTCTAAAGCATGTGAAAGAACCTTGGTTTAAATTTACATATGTGTTTAGTTGAGAATTTTTTTATACAGCAGCACTTACTGGTTTCAGACCAGCAATTGAGGACACAGCAACAACATTTCCTCTGGTCTTCTTCAACTCTGGCATTGCAAGTTTGAGTAAACTGAAGACAGATGTTGTGTTCACCAGCTGCTGGTGCTCATATTGTTCCAGAGTCAAGGTTTCCAGATTTCCAGGGACTCCTATGCCTGCATTTGCCACCTATATTATTTCCATGCAGAGTTATACTGTATTATCTTACCAAGAATATCAATAAATGCATAATAATGGAATTCAAAACCAACCACAACATCTAAGCGTCCAAACTTCTCAAGCCCCTTGTTCAAATAAGCTTCTAGGTCTTCTTTTTCGGCCACATCACCCACCACTTGGACAATCTGTTGATAAAAAAAGTCAAAAGATCAATAGATTCTAGAAAGTGAGCAGAATAAATGCAAAATTGTATGAAACCTTGTCAGGTGACAGACCAAGCTCAATGCACTTGTCTGCAGTTTGTTGCAAGTTCTCTGCATTTCTGCCACAGAGGATCAAAGATGATCCATGACAAGCAAACACTTCAGCTGCACCAGCTCCAATTCCAGAACTTGCCCCTGCAAGTTAAAAAAATAATCCATATCAGTTCTTTCATTGCTGAAAAGTAGAATCTTATTACAAAAATCCTTTCATTGCATGTTTGCTTGCAAAAATATTTTTCAAGATTTCTTGAAATATTCGATCATCATATTTTATATTTTTTCCTTGTGAGAAAATTTTTATTTTATTTTAATGGAGGTATTTTAAAGATACAGTATCAATGACTTGTTTGTTAAAAAATTTATTTCATCTTGGCTTGCTTGAAACATTTTTTATTCATTGTAAAATTAATCATACAAAGAAACCTACATTAATCATTTATGGTGAGTCACATGTAATTGGTCAAATCAGTGAAACATCTAACCTGTGATCAGAACCACTTTCTTCTCCAAGCCCACATAGGAACCTTTGGGTGTTCCAGCAGCAACACTCATTTTGATCGCGTTGAAAAAATGAATTGCTGATTCAAAACACTGTCAACCTTCCTATGTAAGTGAAAAAGATCACCAACAAAGGACAACTGTACATAATGAATAATGAAACAAGTAAATAATGAATAGTACAGTGCAGTACTTCAATTTGTGGTTATGTACTTATTTAAGGGATGCCTTAAAAATAAACATTCCTCGTTTTCTCAAATGCTTTATTAAAGCCTTTTTTAAAGGAAAAACTATCCAAATTCAAATAATTCACAGTACAACACCACGAATAATGCAACACAGAACTAAAGCAACTCATTAGATCAACACACTTGAAACAAAATCAAAATCAAGGAGAATGTGCCCATCAGCATAGATCCGATCAGCATGAGAGTATTGTACTTAATTTTTAAATTTAATGGCAGGGATGAGATACTGGAAATCATGTAATTGATAGCTTGGTACAGTTTCAAGAGGACATCAACTGTACAGCATTTATTTGGTTTGAAATAGACTTACTTGAAAAAGGGACTGATGAATTAGAATTGAAAAATAACCATTGCTTATGAAGGGAAACTGCTGTTCATCTGATGGTCTTCTCTGAAAATTTCTAAGGAATGTTACGAGAAAGTCTCAACAGCAACAAAACACGGGCGAATTCCAGTTCTCAAAACTGAAAGACCTTGGTAGTCCAGTTCTGTTCCTCTTTTTCCATTAAAAAAATAAATAAAAGAATTATCTCCAAACTTGTCCATGACAACTTTCTGACTAAGGATGTAAAGACACAATCTCACACACTTTTGTCAAAGGAACTGATTCACCTTCACAGATGCACACTTGCTCTCTGCCATGTTCTGCTTATCTCATTCCACAACATCAACTTTGCATGGGGAGAGTATCTGTACCCGCAGGAAAAAAAAAACATGAAAAGAGCAAATAATAATAAAAAAAGTAAGATGAAGGACCGGCGAGAGAAAAAATTTAGTATTGAATTCCTTTCATTGCTTCAGAAAAGGTTCGGAAAATATACTCAAAATTTCGCGTGGGATATTTAATTTGAGGGGCATTTTAAAAGAACGCCAGAATTTTGAATCATGGAGAGGAAACACGAACAATTACAATACTATTTTATAATGAGAATTTACGTCACCGTTGCTCATTGATTGACACATTTTGAATGGAGACATTCGTGTAAAATCGACACTAAAATAATGAGTTATCGAATCAACTTAAAAAATTCAGTATTGAATTTTTAAACGCATGAGAATTTTGTGACTTTCTCGAGTTTTTCCATCATTGGACGTTTGGGAAGTTTGTCAGGCACTTCAACAAAAATGTCCATCTCGTCTTGTAACAACAAAAAGGCCAACTTTGGTTTTTTAGTTTACTGTCTTGAATTTTTTAGATTTTCAAGAATGTTTCTTGGTATTTTTCAGTTTATAATTGCTTTAATATTTTTGGTGTTGAGTTTGTTGACTAGTGTATGAAATAATGTAGTGTTTGATACATTTTTTATCATCCTGAAAATTTTGTAAGCAAATCAAGAGCAGATGAAGTTGAGACATTTATCCGATTTTTAATGACAAATAAATTTGAAATGTATGCAATTGTACAGAAAAATTAAATCAGTTCCACATGCTGAAGAAAAGGTTACAATTATTTTAATGTATATTTCAGTCCCTATAAATGCAAGAGAAATTCATGATATTTTCTGAATCCAAAATATAAAAAAAATCACGAGGATCGGTGCAAGGACATGAGAGACATATAATGGTGACCTTGTGATTTGTTAAAAATCAGCATCACAGAAAATGTTGCATTATCTGGACAAAGTTTTGCAAATGGCCCTCATTTTTTTCAAATTTTCTAGAACAAATTAATGCCACTAGGTATATACAGGTAGTTCCACACTACAATACTGTACATGGTGTTCAGTTTCACTTCTTTTCATCAAGCTCCAATTTTGCATGGAACAGAGCAGCTCCTCCATCCACCCTCAGGGTCTCACCAGTGATGAATGATGCATCTTCTGATGCCAAAAATGCAATGGCTTTTCCGGTTTCATAAACATTCCCACATCTACCCAATGGATGGGTTTTTGCTGCCATGGCATTTACCTGATGATTGAAAAGTCAAATTGTAAGTCAACTAAAAGTTATCTGAAGGAAAAACACCTTGTGCTTTAATATGGGTTAAATAATTTCCTTATGCTGCAATTTTTATTGCTGATATGCCCTTTTTATTATTGGGGAGGGGAAAATAGTGCATGCATTTACATCAATTGTGCAATTTTACATTTAGGAATGTATTTTATTTGCTTTTAATATCTGCGTAAAGCTTATTTCTCTATTGTTTCATTCTGATGTGATGGAATGTGTTTGGATGAATGTGTGTGTTGAGAGGAGAGGGTCTGGATGTGGGAAAAATGCTTGAACATTGAAAATGCTGAAAAGCAAAAAATAAAGCTTGCTGATCAATCAATTGATAAATTATAAGTCATCACAAAAACTCAGAACCAATATAATCACAATTTCAAGTGGCTCAAATCAAAACCAAGTATTTGTGAACAGCTTAACCAAAAAATCAGCAACAATGTCAAGTGAAGTGGTCAGTAACAATTTTTCAAAGTTATCTCTCAGATTACGTCAAATTTACAACTTACTTATTGGCAACCCAATTCTTTCAGTCACTTTAATTGAGCAAGATGATGCAAATGACTACCTGGTCGTATGTGACAAGTGGTAGCGGTTTCCGTGGTCGAGACCACTTTTACAACCACATCTACCGCGGTCCCAACTGCGTTAACTGCGCTTGCGGTAGAAACCGGTAAAGGTCCCTGTCCGTTGCTTAGTAAACCAGGTTGTCAGCCTTGCTCACCGAATATGCTAACATTACAGGAAACTGTGGTAAAGAACAATAAGCTGGTAAGGCTCTTCATATAATGGCGTTTATAGATTATAGTTTTTGGAGGACTGTTAGGACCTTAGACATTATTGTCATGTGTGAGACTATTAGTAGTATTAGTGCTAGGTTTATAAGATTGAACGCACACATAAACTCAGTTTTTTTGGTATGAGATTTTAGCTCACACTGAAAAAAATCAAAGATAAAAAGCAACACATTCAATAACGAATAAAATAGGTAAATACATACAAAACGCACAACCTTTTGGATTTGGAATGCTAGCTTATGCTGGGCAATTTTTGGGGAATTGGAATACAATACAAAACTATATGGCGTGAATAATACCCAAAATTGAAGGGGAATTGGGGAAGATTTTACTAGGAGACATTAATATTCACTTGTCAGGCGTGAGAATAAAAATAAATGGTGGTAGAAACATCACAAAACCACCTTAGGATCAGGGAAAATCACCATGGGATTAGAGCTTTCCAGTAGGTAGAAAAATAAACTTGGATGAAATAATGGGTTGGAGCAAATTAACCCTGCTATGGGTAAAGAGACTGTACACAACGCACACGCACAAGGCACACCCAGGAACAATATTTGAGCTGAAGGAATTCAAAGGGAAAGTATAGTTGTGGAATTCTGGGGGCATTACTAGGTAGATTTTCAAAGAAGAGAAAAAGGGCTGGTTAGGATTTAAAAAAAAAGGGGTCACTAAGTCAGCAAATGCACTGAAGCAATTGGAAGGGACTATGCTCATTTTTTGATGGCTGCCAGTATTTTATCAATTCTGTTGGAAATTTACTAGCAGCCATATTTAGGTGCGCAAAAGAAAAACGGGGAACAGGGTGGAACTAGAGAATTTACTCTTGAAGGCTTCCTTAGAATTTTTGGGTTTCTGTGCACAAAGTTAGGGAGGAATGATTCTCGAATGCATCAGACAAACATAAATGGGAAACTAATTTTCTGAAATGATGGGCTCCAACATATACATTTAAAAATTCCATGAATCAAATGAGAGATGTAAAATTAACTCACTGGCTTGAGACCAGCAATAGATGAAACAGCCACAACATTCCCCTTGGTCTTCCTCAACTCTGGCATTGCAAGTTTGAGTAAACTGAAGACAGATGTCGTGTTCACCAATTGTTGGTGCTCATATACAAGTTCTCACTCGAAGAGGTTTAGAGGTCCGTGACGTTACGGTCGTAACTGGTGGAATAGTTACACTTTATTTTACATGCGTATCTGTTTTAATATATCTGAAGGTTTTATGTCTTCATGTTTGGAAAACATCTAAGCGTCCAAACTTCTCAAGCCCCTTGTTCACATAAGCTTCTAGGTCTTCTCTCTTTGCCACGTCACCCACCACTTGGACAATCTGTTGATCAAAAAAAGTCAAAAGATCAATAGATTCTAGAAAGTGAGCAGAATAAATGCAAAAATGTATGAAACCTTGTCAGGTGACAGACCAAGCTCAATGCACTTGTCTGCAGTTTGTTGCAAGTTCTCTGCATTTCTGCCACAGAGGATCAAAAATGATCCATGGCATGCAAAAACTTCAGCTGCACCTGCCCCAATCCCTGAACTGGCCCCTGTTGAGTGCAAATGTTATTTAATTCTGTAAATTCAATAATTTTTTACTTTATAAGATGCCACTGCAATACCATAATGGGAAATTCAAAGACCAAGAAAAATATTGTATGTTTCAAGTAATTCCAAGTTTGGTGTCAAATAAAAAATAATAATATAGTACAGTATTGTATACAGTATATGCTAAAATGAATACTTATTAAAAATTGATAAAAATTAATAAAAATTAAAAATTAATATATATATATATATATATTAATGTGAATAATGGAGTCCACAAATAAATATACACTGTATAGCGAATAATGGAAGATGTTTTCCATCATATTCCTTACACATCAGAAGTTAAAAAAATTATTTTACAGTGAAACACCTGAAACACATATTCAAAGTTTTTTTTTCATCGAATCAGAGACCTGTACGAATAAATAGTCGTTTATTTGGGGTGGGGGGGGGGGGGGGGGGGTTTTTT